CAAAATGAGGCTGGAGCAGGCAAGGAAAGCTACCCGTTGAGGCCTGAATTAGTAGAGTCGATAATGTACCTCTACAGAGCGACGGGAGATCCATTTCTATTGGAAGCTGGCGAGGACATTGTAAGGAGACGACTTGACTAAAATGTCCTGTGGCTTTGCCACGGTAAGCAAATATATTTAAAAAATTATATTGATTATTGAATCAAAAGGTAATGATTTTGCCAATCAACGCTCCTAGTTGATAGATCGATCCGAAGGATCTCCACGAGTAGTAGAACAAACAGTGGATTTTATTTTTGCTTGTGCCTGGTAGTTTTATCTGTTGATAGAAGATCGAGCAAGAGAACTTCATTGTGCGAAAGCAGATTTTTTTGGAAGAAAAACAGTAGTTTATTTTTTCATGTTAATTTTCTTACAAACTCCAGCTTAACAGCTTCGAGTTATTAAATGTAGTGCGAATTGGCAATATGCCTCATTCTACGCCAAAAATCGAAATTAAGTGTTCTAAATGTTTTCCTCAGTAAATAATCCCTATATTTCAATATATGGTGACGGTGACTGACCGTTGTTCTTCGATAGTGATCGCTAAAACATTGCAAGTCCGAATAAACCGTTAAGAACAGATATAATCTATTTAATAAAATTGTTAAATACGCGGAAGAAAGTAAAATATATTTAGCTATGTAATTTTATCATTAATGATATTTCAATTGAATATCAGGATTAATTTTTTATTTACCAACTCTGATGGGGCTTCATCGATTTTTTCAAGCTAACAATAAAGGTACCAGATAGGCATATTAAGCTAATTAGAATCATTACTGGTGAAATAAAATATTCTGCGATGACATGGAATAAAATCCGAAACTTGCGTGAAAAATAAATCAAGTCAGCCAATGAAGAAAATTTAAACGTGCAATTACAGAAATGACGATTCCGCCTCAATATTTGAAAAAGCTCGAATTAGCTAAACCTGCGGACTTTTCCTTTAAAAAGTTGACATGCATCACAGGTTTGTTGGGTCTATTGTCTATTTTTAAATTGACAACGCAGTCAAATAAAGCAGCTTTTGCTCTTTATTTATTTGTTTTTTTATATAATGAGCATATCACCCGGTGCACCAGCAGATTTTTCCTTCAATGGGATTCGGCACTTGGATTCCGAAAAATTTCTCTCAGGTTTGATTGTATTTTATTTCATCAGTGTGCACTTACTAGCACTTAGTGCTTTGTAAATCTGCTGTTCAAGACAATTTTTGCTCAAACAGATGAATCTTAAGTATGATTTTTTAATGTCTTTATTATGAAAGCTTCTGTGAAGATAATGAAACAATATTTTTTTTACTAGACAAGTACATAATAGTAAAAAAAAATGAGTAAAAACCTCACGGGTGCCTGTACGAAAACCTATCTCAGAGATTCTATTCTTGAGATGAAAACATAATGATTTAATTTTTCACTTTTAAATTTTGTTTCGGGCGATATGTTTTGGGTGGTAATATGAAAATCCGTCAATACTTTCTAGGAACATTGAAAAGATCGCAGTCAGGCATACGAAAATCATTTTCAGAGCTTTTTCTGTTATTAGAATTGCACACATTTGTCATGCAATAAAGTCCAAGGTAGGTACTCTTGGTAGAAGCGCTTCTTTTTTAAATAGGTATTTCAAAATTAAAGAATGTCTAGTGAAGTTAAAAATCAGGAAAATACCTCTAAAACAATTTGAAAATGCAATATTAATTGTGATAATAAAAGAGGAAGGCGCAAAAGTAAAATCAAGCTGAGTCATGATTGTGGATTTTGTTTTTTGATCTAATGCTGAACAATATTGTGCTCATCCCGTGTCTCATATTTGATTTTGCTTTTGTGTCGGTTTCTCTTTTATTTTAAATTTCACGAATGACATTACTATACTTTAGACTGAAACCACCCTGTTCCCCTTTTAAAACCCTAATATAACGAAAACGTTGGCCCAAGAAAAATAGTGTTCCACTATCAGTTAACAATAAATCGTGTCTTAATAAATAACTATTATTTCAAAGTTCTAATATCTCGAGATAAATTGCGATGCGTTTTCGATAAAATAATGTATCGCAAACACACCTCTAATCATAAAAACTGGGCAATAAAAAAATGTTCTTGCTGCGAGTTGTCAACGTGCTTAGAAGGTGCTAACGACATTTTACGAAGTGAAGAAGAAAGTGCTAACAAAGGTTCAGATGCGTTCTTAACTTTTACGCCGAGTCCTTTGAAAGTTATCCACTTTCGAATTACACAAATTATACGAAATAATCATGACTTCACTCCAGGAAACCGTGGTTGGCTTTTGTTCAGAAATCCTGTATAAGTTCGTATATACAGTGAGGACAGGTCGGTTGGAACACAAACGTTTAAAATTCAGCAGTTGTTTCTTTTGTATAAAATAAAAATCGACGTGCCCAAGTGACTCATTTTAATCCACTCGTCACTACTGAAAATTTCGCATTATATCATTTAGTATCTTACGGAAGGAAAAAATTACAAGGATTTAAAGCACGTAAAATTTGTCTAGTGAAGAACAATGCAACAAAGTGCACTCTTCATTGGATTGAAAGTTATTTATTTAGAAAATTATTTTTGTTTTAAATACAGCCATTGGTCTGGAAGGAGTCCGGTACACTCGAGTGGGTGGCGTTCCGGATAGAGGCCCGGAAAAGCGATTTCTTACAAAATCGCTCTGGTTGAACAACAATAAACTGAAGAGTACGAGAAATATTCACGAGTTGGTAAATGCCACAATCGAGTATCCGGCCCAACTTGGATGGATAGATTTCTCGTTTAATTACATAACCGAAATTGAAGAACAGGTGAGTTACATTAAATTTAGGCAAAATCCCATGAAGAACTTTTTAGAAAACTAACAAATATCTAAGCTTCGCTGATATGAAATTATGCTTTCATTGCAAGACACTGTGAGGACAATAATTATTTTTATGGAACTATGGAATACTTCAAAGCCGCCAACATAATTTCTACTGGTCATTGTTCGAGTCGTTAACAACATCAACTATTAATTACATTTTTTTTAAAAATTAGAAATTTAATTTTCATTTCTTATCTGTATATTTTAAAATACACACAAATTCTTCTTATGCTTATAAAGATACTTCCTAAATCTACCTGGGCGTTTTTGATAATTGATTTTCAAACGGTCACAAAAAGAGCGCTATTATAATTAAAATTGCTTACCTTATAGAGCCTGCTGAAGTTTCCAAAGCTAACCATATTGTACTTTCATGGAAACTGTATCAACGACTTGAACGAAGTGTATAAATTGCGGCCGCTAACAGAATTGCGAAGTGTAACATTTCATGGCAATCCAATAGCGAATCATCCTCGATACAGAAACTACGTGGTCTCTGTTCTACCTCAAGTAAGAATATTATGATACAGAAAATATTGCAATCTTTACCTTTCGTGCTCTTAAGAGCCTTCGATAATAGATTTTTTGATACAAGGGTGAAAAACGGATTTGGACCATGTTTTTAAATTTGAGTTTAAGAAATAATACAAAGAAGTATTGTTATCTTGCAAAGCCAAGTTTTGGCGTTCATTATTTCGTAAATTTGTATGTGTGTATGTATGTATGTTTATATATTATGTTTCTCAAATTGCGCATATTTTCCAAATGAATAGTTATACTTGTGGTAAAGCAATTGATAGTTTTCCACACACACTGTGTACTTCAAGTGCTTCTTCAAGTAAAAAAAAATGATTTATTGGAAATAAGCATGTATGAAGGAGTAAAAATAACTTCATTCGAAGGCTTAAAGCTCAAAACGTGCGCACTTACATTGAAAGCAATAGATCAAACGTACGCATACTTAAAAAAATAATTAATTAAAATAAAAAATAGCTTTCTAAAATTTACTTATTAAAAAATATTAATTCTATTGTAAATATTCGGAGCCTTAGTCAAGAAGTACTAAGGCTCAAAATATTTTTTCTTAAATAAGACAACAGTGTATCTTTCACACATGCTAGCAAACTCAATCCTTACATTTATTTTTCCATTTGGTTCGAGCTGCACAAGAAAACTTTTTTGCCATTCTTATCATGAAAACCAAAATTCAGAGTCAAAACAACAACTTCTATCCAATTAATGAACACGCTATAAAATATGAAACTACAAATTGATCAGGGGTTCTGTGGCTTTTCATTCATTGCCTAAATAAATTGTTTTTAGATAGTAAATTTAGATTTCACACCCATTGTTAAAACCGAGAAATTGTTCGCCATGCCGCCGGAGGTTATAAAGAAGTTTAAAGAAGAAAAAGAAAAACAGAAGGCGGAGACTGAGAAGCGCAAACCACAACCTGCTGAAGTAAATCCTTGATCTCATCTGTATTTTACTTATATCATTAAAGTCCTTATTCTAATGCGATGTTCTTTACAATCTAGAATCTATGCAAATAAGCAGCATCACTTGCTGCATACCATTCGATTTATACTCACTGTTTGTCGAAAATCGTATATCAGATCGGCTCATATAAGAAACAAGTCAATGTTCTTGACTTTCAAATAACTTCATGGGGAAATTAATTGAAAACGATAACTTCCACCAAACAAATCAGGTTACCATAAAAGAAAAGACTATATGTACAAAACGCAGTCTAGACTTTCAACATATACAGAGGACAGATTAATTAAAAATATTTAAAGAGCTACAAATCAAACTACATTTTGTTTCCAAAAATTATCTTTTTGATAATGTTCAATCGCAAACCGTTAATTTAAAAAGCAATTAATTTGATTTCTAAATAACTTGACCAAATCGGAACTCAGAGGCAATAAAAAACACTTTTCAAAATAATATATTATTGAAAGATCCGTTCATTTTGTCCATTTTAATTCAACTTATTTAGTACTAATACACATGATATTTCAAAATTGCTAACAGTCACAGTCAGTTATTTGCAATCAACTTCCTAAATAGTAATTGTCATTTATTATTATGTTTAGAAGCAGAGGCGCGATTTATCCTATCAATGTCCTGTAATAATGTTGATTGTAGCCTGTTAAATAATGCAATGCGTAATTCACGCGATAACGGTTTTCATACATTTTATTTATTGAATTTTTTTTTTCAGTATAATTTTGAAAATAATAGTTACAACTTTTGAATAAAAGCAACAAAACACGCTGCCATTGCTTAAATCATAAATTGCAAACTGAAACAAAAGTAAATATTCTTACTTTATTAATGAAATATTCAAACTTATAAAATAAACATTATAATATGCACTTCTGAACTACAGTAAACTTATGATTCGGTTTCCGGCGTGTGCCAAGCGATCCTTTGCTCATAAAATTGGATTACCACTTGCGGACATTTCACATTGGCCTCTTTTGCGGCTACCAGATCTGTCTCATCCGTTCCTTTCCATTTCATAAGAAACATGAGATCTCCCGTGGAGTCAGATGCTCCGATAATTTTTTCAGCATCCAAACCTCTTTCGAATCCCGATTTTCTCGATAACGGCTTTCCCTTGTCTTTTACATCGGATCGCTTTCGCGCTTTGCCTTTAACAGATACATTCTCCTCATCTGAGTCTTTCTCAACCTGCAAGACCAAGAACACATAATTTTGAAATATTCCTCACACTCACAATACACATCATTGTTAAGAAGTAAGTGAATGCGTATATATCGTAAAGACGACCGGGACCGTAATATGGCTAACATTTGATCATTTCAAGGAACGGACAATTGTGTGTTACCTATAAAATTCTGACTTACTTCGTTATCTTTGGATTCTTTCTTAGATTTTTCCTCATCTGAATCAGACTCCAATTTCTTACTGGCTACCTTTTTTTTCGCTTTTTCATCGTCTTTCTTAGACTGCGGTTTTGAATCAGACTTTCGCTTTTTCTGTTTGGCTTTTCCCTCAGCATCAGAATCCTCCTTGTCCGAAACGTCTTTCCTCGGTCGTTTTACTTTCGGTTCCGCTTCAGATTCGGGTGAAGGGCTCCTCGCTTTCTTTTTCTGTCATTACAAATAAACATTTTACTTTACGCGTAACTTATTAAAATCTACCGTGAACTATCAGTAGCGGAGAAGCAATTGCAAGCAAAGCCGACCGTTTCAGTAAAGTAAGTAAAGTAAATTTGCCCAGAGCTTATCAACAAATTAATTGATAAAACATTTGGAATAAAGCCCGTGTCCCATGCATCCGTTAATACGATGGTACGAAAGTGTTTCTATTGGTTGGAGATCTGTCAGTTTGTACGACGATACGGACGAATTGACAGATATCCAATAGAAACACTTACAGTGGCTTTATACAAGACAGTGACGACAATGGTAGTCTGGTTTTCTATTGATTAAGGCCTTCACGTGATTAAATTCGCCATTTTGGTGCAGAAATTATTTTATTTTCTATGCAGACTATGGAGTCGCGTTTTACTTTCTGAATTTTATAGAGTATCATATTGCGTCTAGACGTCAGAAATTATATGTATGTTTTTATTGAATAAAGCCAAATAATATCTTATAATGTTTGTTTTGCGTGTTTTAATACCTGGGACCTATACAATAAACATTACTCAGTAATGGTTACAAGTGGGTCTATTATACGCTCGCTTATAAACAAATGTTTGATTTATAATGAGGAACGAACAAGACTGAAACCCTAAACCTAACCTAAATTTCCATTGCTGAAAACAATTATTTTTACGTACTGAATTGCATCTCGATTCAGCTGACTTAATTATCAAGGAAATGCATTTTATATAGACAAACTCATCTTTAGCTGGTTACTAATTTAATCGCAAAATGTTTTATATTATGGCAATTATTTCAAATTAAAGAAAGAGACTTGAGTCATGCAGATCAATGCAAAATATGTGCCAGATTGATTCGACCCATAATAGTGAATGGGAGGAGCTTTGGCCTTGTCGCCACTGTAGAAACATTTTCGTATCATCGTCTACACGGATGTATGGGACACAGGCTTGAAGCCCGTGTAATAAAATTGTGAATCCGGCAAGTTATCGTATACATGGGACAGCTAAAAATCGGGATCGTACGAACGTCTAAAATCTCTGACCAATAGAAACATTTTTTCGTACCATCGTATAAACGGATGCATGGGATACCCGCTTAGGTCTATGCGAGTGTTCGCATTCAATTTAATAGTCGGAAACCTTTCTGTCTGAACACATTACTTGCCCTAAATGTTATTAAGTTTGTGAGTATTTGGGACTGGATTAAAACCCATTTTTCCACTAAAAATGGTCATTTCGGCTCGGTCGTCGGTAGTCGGGTAGTTCTCAAGGCTATTTTTAATATTAAAAGTCGTTATGTCATTAGATACTGAAATGTGTGCCTTGGATCGGCCAATATTAATACCTAGTTAACAGTGAATTAGACTTTTTCCAATAACTGGCCATAATATTTGATGATGATGAGCGCTAAGATTTTTGACCAGTGTTGAAAGAAAATTCCTTTTAAATAAGAGTTTACAGATAGCAAAGTGTGACGAAATGGATACATTTTTCTTACAACAATAAACAATTGTATTTAACTATCAGTTGCGATAAGGAATGAATGTAAGAGCATTGTTGATATCGACTTGATTATGAAGTCGAATGAATATATTTCGAGATGAAAGATGCAATATTTGTGCAATGCTTGACGAAAGGTTAATTTTGCTTTTTCTAAGCTAATGTGCTGCGTGCACCTGGCCCCAATTCTAGAAAAGTTAGAGAATATCTGTCGATTCGATTCCAACAGACATTTAAGCATTTATTCTGAGACGCCTTCGCCAGCACGATCATCCCATATCATTCCACTTGATTTCTTTTTGTGGGAGTAGGTATATCAATTATGTTTATGGGCCTAAGTTTTGCAACTGAATAGAACTCTTTAAATTGGTTATTGCAGCTTTTGAAAGTGTGACGCCATATGATGCTAAGACCTGTTATAGAGTCAATTTGCGTTTGGAAATGGAGGCTAATATGTTTTTTCAAGTGAATTTCAATACATATCCTACACTGAGTACCAGCGTTGCAAATACATGTCTGCGTTTACAATTTTTCGATGACTTATTAAAAAAACCGATCAAAACATATCTAAACGTCCATATGTTGCTAACAAATAAACAGGGTGGTTTAAAAAAAACGTTGCTAACGATTTTTTGAAAACGAAACGTCGAGGCAAAAAACTGAGAAGATGGGAGGTATCTATTAAAGTTGCCATGAGTTATATCAGGCCTAACGATCCGCACTTGACTTGTCTACGACACCCTTAACGTGAAGTGCCATCCCTTGGTTCCCAGGAACTGAACACTTACTTGTTCAAGTGTGTGAACCATACATTGGTAGATTAGATATTAACCAGAAGTATTTTTTGGCAGTAGGTAAAGCTAGGATTTCGTTTACATTTTTAAGGGTAGCTTTTAAGTCAGGCAGTCAGCTGAAAACCACCAAAGAGTTGGTACATAAAAAATGTTAACAGTCAACTTTGCATTTTAAATGAATATTTTAAAAAACAAAGTCTCGGCCATTGATTGTTAACTCATGTAAAAATGTAGTCGATCTTGCTCGAGCTTTGAAACAAAAATTTGTATAAAAGATTGGAAAGCGCTATTTTATTAGACTGTTAAATGCTCAACCTTTTTCCCATCTAACCAACTTCGTATCATTCATGGTTTCCGATATCCCTATACTGGCTCTTCTTATTTTGGACACAGTGTATTATTAGAGCTCATTTAGCATACGATTATTAGACCATTTGGTTGAAAAGCAACTTGCCTTCTTATCGTCAACATTAGAGTCTGAATCCTCTGAATCCTTTATCTTTTTCTTGTCTTTAGCTCCTTTGGCTCTCCTGTTCCGTTCGAATTCTTGAATCAAATCAGGGCAGTCCAGATTTTCCTCCGGTTCCCAAGTGTTGTCGGTCTCACTGTACCCCTTCCATTTCAGGAAATATTCTACTTTGCCTTTGACCACTCGCCTATCAATTATTTTTTCCACGGAATATTCCTCTTCGCTCTCGCTGCTGCTGTCTGATTTTTTTAATTTGCTCATTTTCACTGCAACAGTTTCAGACGTTTAAATGAACATAGTTACTATACCGGGATCTTGGTATTTGGGGGTAAACGTATACTTAGCATATACACTAAGTCGTTTTAACTGAAACATTGCTTTATTTAAGACGATACTGACCTGCAGTGTTTCGATTCGAACAGTCCGTTACCAGATTTTTAATAACTTACAGCAATAACTAAAGAACTATGAACAAATTATGAACCGCGTTAAATTGAAGCTATCTAACGAAATGGCGATGGCGGCACAACGTTTGTGTCATTGCTACCAAACGAAAATCTACAATGCTACCAACATCATGTAGATTTTGGCGAAGGGGAGATACAGTCGACGTCACTGACGCGCCCAAATTTTTCCGCCTTCACTTTTGTTCATAAATACTGTTTCTATACAATGCACTGTGTACTAAGGTACTTGTATACAGTTCATTGTTTCTATATGTTATATGATTTTATGCCGATCACTTGGCTCAAACTATTCAGTGCCATAACTGTAACTTCTATTTTGAAATTTACAACAGTTATGTTGACTGAAAGTGCATGAGTAAAATATGAAAGCAACAAAATACAGTTTGGTAACTTAATTATGATTTTGAGTTTGATTATTAACCATTTGTTTTTTTCTATGATTTAATCAGTGAGTTTTATAGTATACAATAAATGTAGAAAATCACTGGATTTAATAGAGACGTTTGTTTTTCGTAAGTTTCCCCCACCATGATAAAGTGGAAGATATGACATAGGACAGTCGGTTTTACTTCAAACTTCAAACACTAATCTGATTCGTTGTGAATGTTTCGTGAGAAGTGGGGAAAAGTTAATTTTATATAGTAACTGAAGCAATTTTAAAAGTAAGTAACTACCCTAATTTATCCTGGGTCTTCGATGGTTGAGTGATAAGTGATTTCTAGCTAATAAATCACTACCTGGATTGTACGACCCATAATTTCTTTGTGTTAAATATTTACCTTCAATGGTACTTTTGCTCAGTTAAATAAGTTTAAAAACGGTTTTTTAGTCCGAAGAAGGATGTACAAATTGAGCTGAACTGTTTATTTTGTTACGTACATGTAACTCCATAGAGAAACAAAATAGAAAAAAATATCCTTAGGCGTGAAAACCTCCTTAGGAAAACGAAAACTTTAAGAGCACAGATTGGCAAACTAAACTGAGCCATCAACTTATAATGGCATGATGTTCGCGCAGCCTTTTTCGCCAGAAAATTTATTCGCAAGTAAATAAAAGTTAAGTTCATTCCGGATCGAGAATGTGACCGAATCAAAAAATGAATATCTCGAAGAATAAACATACGACTAAAGATCCAAATAACTCAGAAGACATGAAAATTTAACATCATATACAGGGTGTCCCATAAATTCCAAATTTGTTTTTATGTAAATCTCAAATTTTGATGAAACAATCGAGTTCATCCGTTTTGGACAGATGGTGAATTATGAATGAATGCTTCAATATTTTATAAAGAGCACAAAATTGTGAATAAATGATTAGTGCATGAACCAAAAAAAAGAACTGATTCGATCTACCAAATAAAAAGTTCTGGTGGTTTTTGTACCACGACATTCAAGAATTCAGCACTTGTCCAAAACGGCTGAACTCGATTGTTGTGAATTAAACGTTGACCAGGAAAACATGAGAGTATTTCAAACTATATGTAGGTACAATGTTTACTTACTAAAACTTAGATTTTGTCCGAAAATAGCCATAATTCGATAAAAAAATTATCAAATCAGGCCACCGACTGAGAAAATATTCCGTCGAAAAGTTAGGGAATTTTTAAGCTATGGGTTGAATTTACTTCACAGTTCGCAGTGTATTAATTTGTTTTACAACCGCAACATCTTTATTCGGTGAAAAGGCTATCGACCATTGCGGTCTTTCCGCCTTTGTTTTAATAATACCTACATTTTATTATTTGGTTTATGTATAGATATGTTCCTCCGCACGTATGTATATGTTTTACTTCTGGTACTCGTTTCAACTTATTCAAAATTAAATAACAATTAAGCAAACCATAAAATTATTTTTGAAAATTTAAATAACAGAACATTCAGTTCTAATTCAGGCACGTAGTTCCAGAAATACTGGATGTCAAAAATGTTAAGAATCTAAGTTTGGTAAGTGAACATTTGTGAGCTTCCTTATTAGGCAAATAGAATTTCGCGTTGCACTCACTTGCAGCCAACGTTTAAAATAATGAATTTTTACTGTTTGGCCAACATGAATTTTCTAAATTGAAAACTGTTGATAATTCAAAGAAGCAAATAATAACATGTAAGTATTTATATTTAATTTGAACAAAAAACAAGTGAAATACTTGTATTAATCTCTCTCCAACCGATAGTACAATGCAGAGCACATACGAAAAAAGTCAAAAGGTTTACTAAAGTCCGGTGCTTTGAGTGGTCAATTCTGAACTAGATTGAGAAAAGGTACTCCAGATAATCGGTTTTATTAGTCCAAGAATAAGAACTCAGAAATTTTGTACTGCATTGAAGAAACACGTGTGATTGGGGTAAATAATAATCGTATTTGATCTCTCAAAGAAATTCAGCGCAACTCTTGTCAGCGAACGTAATGTCTAGACGTGGCCGAAAAACCAAACGTGCAGCAAATTATGTAGATGATCCTGATTCATCCGATGAATTTGATGCTTTTATGGTATCCAGTCTATTAAGTATATTTGCCTCTCATAGAGCACCTAGAACAAAAAAGCCGACCACCAACAAAAGAAAACCGTCCTGTAAGTAATAGTTTTAACACTTGAAAAATAAAAATTTAATTTGTGGCATTCCCGATTTGTGGAATATTAGTACAATATTTTTTCATCAACATTTAAGGCTGTTAAGCCGAACTAAAAGTAGAATTTATAAAGTTACAAATTTGAATTTACACTTTAAGGTGTGAAATCAACGGTTTTTAAATTATAAATGATTTTATTTWAAAAAATCAAAAAGTTGTTACATTTTGTAAGGTGGCTATGGAATTAATTAAATAAGTGTAAAAATTTGATGAKACTTGACATAATAATGAAGAAAAGTGCAACGTTTTATAAAATGCATGGAATTTCATACCAAAAAATGCAATAAAACTGCAGACGTCTATTAAAATWAAAATAAAATTATATCTACAGTGATATTTTAAAGTAAATGTTCAATATGATTTCCGTTAACATTTAAGCAACTATTAATATCTACGTTTTTGAAATGAATCGCTATCGCAGTTCAAAACAATATTATTAATACTTGGTTAAAAACAGTGGTGATTCGGTTCTTTAGTCATCTTTTGTAGTTGGAGGTATTTTATAAATTTCGTTTTTGACGTAAGCCCATAAAAAGAAATCCATTTTTGTTAAATCGGCTGAACGAGGTAGCCACTGAACAGGCCCACCTCTGCCTCTCAGGAAATTAATTATTTAGGTACTCATGAATTTGAGCTGTATGGTGAACTGGAGCTCCATCACGTAAATACCACAAAATTTCCTTGATATAATTAGGTAAATGATCAATTAAACGTGGCAATTCAAATTTTGACACTTATTTAATGAATTACCACCATAGCCACCTTACAAAATGTAGCAACTTTTTGAAATTTTTAAATAAAATAAATTATAATTTGAAAACGGTTGATTTCAAGTCAAGATTTAAAGTGTAAATGCAAATTTGTAACTTTGTAAATTGTCTATCTAATGACGTATTAATATACAGGTACTTCCATTTGAAAAACAAAAGTTATATTGCGTTAAAAAGTTTTATATTGAAGTCAATATTGTTAACACCCTGTACAATGTATTGATATTTTGGTTGATTAGAATTCTTAATGGATCTGTGGTGATTGGAAAGACATATTTTTTTGTATAACTGCTTTTTTTTGCTTCTACAATGAATTTTTAGATACCATGTTTTTAAGCGAAATTTTACTAAAATGGCAATAATCTGCCATCGTCGCAAGTAAGAAAAACAATTTACGGTGCATATGCAGCGTTTCAAGCTGTGCGCACTTTGTGCGTCAACAACTTTTATATGAAACTATTTTTCGAAAGTTCAACACCAACGGAAATTAAATAACTCTATCGCACTTAAAAACCACCCTGTATATTTCAAGTAATTTAATTGCATTCTCTAAGTTATTCTTGAAATTAAATTGCACATATTTTTCTACGTCAGGTCAATGTGATGATCAAAATTGTCGCTCAAAGGCCAATAAACAAGCTGCAAGCAGAAGTACGAGCTCAGTTCAAAGCAAGTCTAGACAAAGGAATGGAAAAAATACTGAAACCAAATCAACAACAGCAGCTCCATCCACTACTATAGATTTGGATTCCGATAATGAGGTATAGGCCTGGGTAACACTGTGTTCAGTTGCACTTTTGAGTTGTTGCCGCTCTCAGAATTAATAAGTCGTCTGTACATGAGTTATAACTCATTTATTAAAGCGGATTATAAGCTTAACGAGACCCGAGACTGAAATTTTAACATGTAATTTTTTTTTATCCATTTTTATGAGTAACATTTTACCACTTTATTCTAACAACTAAAAAAGTCACCTCATTTTTTGTAAGTAATGTTTCCCAGCAATGGAACTGAGTTAGTGCCCCGGTGCGTTGAGTTGGCGCAGAAAGCCATTTGTGTCGCACTGCACCAAATCCTCAAAATTCACTGACTTACCCAGGCCTAATGAGGTAATGCCAATTATTTATGAAATGTGCTTGAAAGCTCACTAGTCAAAATTCATTACTGTTAGTTATCAAAGCCCCACTCATTAAAAAATWAATTTAWGAAGAAGTTGCAATATTTTTTATTTTATACGTCGCTAACAACTTTATCAAGTGTSACGTTATACAATGCAATCGTAAATTATTTTTCACTTCAKWTCTTTAAAGAGATATTACGAGTAGTTGCGGCCAAGAGGGTACGTGCCATTAATATTTGGTGCRTAAAGTTGGTTTCTCTTACTTATTTTACACTAGATTTTTTATTTGTTCCTCACATAWAGCYTGTATMAMACCCTTATGGAAAAATTATATCTTGTGATGTTGAMGTTTTGCAAAACGAATCAATACKAAACATAAAAGTATGATTTATTTTAGGCTCCAAACGCTGCTCAAACAAAAACGTATGAGGCCAGTATTCACAATAAGATCGATAATGTTTTCAAGGCACTAGAGTCAAGCGATGAAGGTTTGTCCGAGGAGGAAACGCGTAAAAAGAAAGCGTGTGTCACCAGTTCATCGGAGCCAAAGCCCAAAGACTTTTATACGATTTTATCAGATTCAGAAGGCGAAGACGAAAAACGCACATTGGATAATTCTAATTTTAAGGTAATATCTAAGCTTTGATTGATTGATTGAATTGATACAGGGTGTCCGTTTTTGAAGCTCAATCATGGGGATCTCGGTAACCAGAGTACGAGATTGGTTAAATTGGGGCAACGTTGCGCAGTCTAGAGCTTACTAAAATGCTCATTGAAAATGCCAAAAATGCTACTTCCGGAGATATCCGAGAAAAATAGAAATTCTAAAAAATAGTTTTTATTTTTTCCTTAACTTATTTGGCGAGGAAATTTAAATTGAATAATACCTCATCATTGCAACTTTTTCTCTTCTACAACGTGGCGATGTTGTATCTAAAATCCGACATGGATTCTCGACAAMMATCATCAAAATTGTGTTTTYTTATGGRCGCCSTCTTGGATTTTTACATGTTTGAATTCAGCTTTTTCTTTGATTACGACGATGATATGTTAAGGTTCAGTCTTGCTGTTGGGTGAAAATAACAAAATTCTGAAAGAGAGAGAGAAACAATGAAAGAGTGCGTTGGAATAACACCCACTCTTTTGTTTAATGAACATATTTTAGACAGTTTCTGTATCTGTTTGAGTAGGATAAAAAAAGGAAAAAAGTGTAATATAAATTTACATAGGATAAAGAAACTATACKGAGAAACCTGTAAATTAAGAAAATGATAAGAGGTGCTCGAAGGGTTCAYCCTCCACTTCCAAGCACAGATCTATGCGTCTTCTTAAATTTTGAATTGATCTTAAAACGTTTCTTCTTTTAATTTTGGTCCTTGGCAGGTCATTAACATTGGTAGGTTCTGATTGATAAATGAGGTTTTTCATAGTTCCCCATAAATAATAATCCAAAGGGGAAATATCTGGTGATCATGCCGACCAACGTATGTGCACATTGTTGGAAATGTCTCTGCCGGAACTATTTCAATGTTTCACCCATCTGTGCGGGACAATGATCGTATCGCCATGTAATACAACCCATACATTTAGCCCAAAACGTGTTTGTGGTCGTCATCCTTGGTGTTCGTGTGGATTTTCAGTAAACCAGACATGTTTATTGTGACGATTGAACATGCCTGAGTTTGTAAACTTACACTCGTCCGTRAAATCACATTAAAAAGAAAAAGGGATTTTGCTCGAACATCAGTGTMATGATATTTCTACAAAATGCTATCTWCCGATCGGTATCTCCTGGATGCAACACTTGGGTGATTTGAATTTTAAACGGACGATATTTGTTTCTTCAAGACTCTCCACACTGCCTGATAGATAYGTTAATTTCTCCTGCTATAGCTTCTTGTTCAAGTAGCATRATWATCTTGAATCTAATTGAGAATTTAATTCATTACCGTTTATGAGAGATTAACATGATGAGAGTTTAACATTTCACTCACCACCTGTAAAATTTTCACTTCATTCTCATTTGTTCTCTGAACACGTTTTCTAGGCCTAGAAAAAGCGAAATTAAGTTGATACAACAAAACAGTGAGTGTTTGTTGTAGAAGAGAAAAATTGCAATGATGAAGTATTATTCATTCTACATTTCAGAGTCAAATAACCTTCGAATTCGAATTTCGATTTTTTCCGCGTCTCCGGAAATAGCAGAATTTGTTTAAATTTTTGTTGGACATTTCAGTAAACTCTAGACTGCGCAACTTAACCAATTTCGTATCTAGTTTAGTATGGTTACCGAGATACCCATGGTTGAGCTCCAAAAACGGACACCCTGTATATGCTCAGCAAAACACAAATGGCTTAGTACAGGGCTAAATTAAACGAAAAACTTTACCGAATGTAGAAATGTTTTTCAGGTTTCGTTTGTTACTTATGGACCACAGAATGAACAGTTGCTTTCAAGCACAAGCTCCACGAACATATCAAATGCTACTGATAATAGCTTGACTGTAAAGTAGGTGCACCTGATGATCGATTCTATAAGAAAGACATTTATTTACAAATATGACGAAATTTAAAGAATTCTATCCTTTCCAGACCTAAAAAGAATGCAACCGATCTTCTATCATATGTGGACGATATTTTAAATGAATGCGATGTTATAGATCTTGACCACTCCAATAAATCATCGTCCATTTTAAGGTACATATTCAGGTTAAAATTGGAGCTTGTGTACAATGTACACATTACTACTTATTTCAAATTACAGTTTAGACGACTTAAAGAAGAATGCAAATGCAATTTTGAATGACGTTACATCATATGCAGAAGTATTGCAACCAAAGGAACCTGAGGTAACAAGACCATTATATTTTATTCTTATCTCGTTAACTTTCAGAATTAATTAATTCATTTCTTATCACCCATTGTTACAATAAACTTTTGTAAAGTTTTGAAATATCGTCGAAAGCATTGTCCCTGATAATTATATAACTTTTTCCCTTTTTGTTTATTGGATGCCTACCAAGGATTCAACTAAAATATCAGTGGTTAATTTATCAGAAATATAATTACTTACAGCTATAATATAAAATTACGCCAAATACCGCTGGATAATTAACTGTTTTCCTTTGTATTTAATCAGAAAACAATATATGTCCTTATATTATTCGAATAAAAAACCAAAAAGTATTTACCTAGTAATATCTACTATTGAAAATATCGGTTTAAAATGTTCACTGGTTCTTCGATTAAATTCTGATTAAATCAATATAATTATAAATTAAACTTACAAATAAGTTTATTTATAAGTCATTTATATTTGCAGGCAAAGAAACCAGATACTCCGGTTAAGGAGGTGCCCACTTGCCCTATATGTCTCGAAAATTTAGGGGGTAGTAGACAGGCAATGGCAACACTTTGTGGTCATATATTCTGCAGGCAGTGTTTAAACCAAGTAATGAAAACGACAAAGAAATGTCCATCATGTCGTGTGAAACTCAACAAAGCCAAGTACCATGCAATTTACATATAGGCATGAGTCTTACATAAATACTTCTTTTCCAATAAAATTATGAATTTACAACCTATTGTTTGAATAGTGTTTGTGGGAATTAGGAATAGATAAAGGAAGCCATCTGATGAATACAAACTTAACTTTGATAAAACTGAAGACACTGCAGAATACAAGTGGATTTTTTTTTAATTCTTGCTCATAAATGAATGTGGAAATTTGTGAAGCTTGTGGAAATTACGTTGTTGAAATTGCTTATACCATTTTGCTACATTTTCAGAAATAACATTTTTTTCTATTGCAAAAATATTACACACTTTGAATGGCAAGGACAGTGTAAAATAAAAAAAAGACAGCAGTAAGAACTTATTCTCAAGGATTATACTCGAAACATAACAATTCGAAGAACTAGTTTTTTACTTGATAATTTCCACAGAAAGTTTTTGCTATGTATATATTTAATTTAATAGATAAAATTCGTATAATACAAAAGATGACAAAATTTAGTTCCAGCTTACATTGAGCACAGTCTAAGTCATCGTACCGAAAACTGGATTATGCCTGCAAATACTAGGTCCATACTCTTCATACTGCTCTTTGGTGTGGCAAACGGTGTAAAATTCAGGCTAGAAAAATTTAAAATTTGCTTCAGCTAATAGTTATGCAATTATACAAAGGAGGTAATGAGTAGGGCTTTTTTTGCGTTCTGCATATGGTAATTTCGCAAAAAAAATCATTGCAAGTCGATTTCAACTTTAGCCGACAGACTTTAATCGGGATTATGCGTTCGACCGGATTAAAAATTATAAATGGTATGCACCGTCGACAGTTTTACTTGACTTGAAGCGCGTTTAACGTTAATCCGCCAAGTCGGAGAATTAAGTTGTTAGTCTAACTAGATATTTAAACTAAATACATAACATAACCTTTGAAATTGAGAGTTTTGTTTTCGTCCTAGCAAGTTCGAGAATTAACTAGGAAGATGAAATAATATTGGATGATGTTAAAATATTTAAGAAATAATTGCTTATGGTTTTCCAAGAACACAACTAACTCGGTTCAATTATTTTGATACACTAGACGAATTGTTTTTATAGGCTCGTCCGGTTAACAAAACCAGTCGTTTTTAGATTGCTAGAAGAAATTTGCCACCTTCTAGAATATCCCAGTAGCACATAAATTGGAAATATAGAATGACAAAAATCCAAAAAGTTATCCAAATAATTCGTTTATTCTATGAATGAATGAAAATTATTCGTGTTAAAAACACTTAATTGTTATTTTTTACAGAAATAACAATTTATCACCCATAAACAAAATTTTAAAAGCTCTTCGTTTTTATTCTTGTATGCTCATCATTTTCAGCAATTCATTAAACATCTGTCACTAGAGCTATTAAGAAAAAATCTAATGCAATCGCAGATTTAAGGACAAAATACATTAAAATGCCTTCAAATGAAAATATTTATCGCACGCATTAATGAATACTTAACGCGTTAAAAATTAAGGACATTGTTGCTGATTGGCTTTGCACTACAAAGGATTCAATAAGTTTTAATAGTTGCAGATTGAAGGCTACACTAGAAAATGGCGAATTTCGTGGCGGCTTCGAAATAGTGTTTTGCTTGTTCGCTTTGAAAACTTATACAACTCCATATTAATTCGGGTCAAGTCAGGGTGTTTATTTTTATAAAATCGTTTGAGGACGCTCCAGTCTATATGTTCTGTTCCGTTAACTTTATCGAAAAGAATTCGATATATTTTTTACGGTTGCCATATCCTTAAAGGGTTTAACTAATCCACGGCTGAATTTCAATGGTGCATATCAGCTGGGTTCTTAAACCAGATTAGTTCTTAAACGCGTTTAGTTAATCGGGATTAGGGAGCTTGGCGGTGCATACGGCCATAAATGCCACTTTTTTATAACTATACAATGCAGTTGCAAAGATACTTACAGTTGATGCCAGCATGCTTCCACCAAACCATACAGCATATCTTTGCATATGATGGGACACCACTTGCACATCGATAGGTTTGGGCTGAAACAAACATATAATATTTGGAATATTGAAATCACCATAGAGCTAGGTCCTATTTTTCAAGTTGTACAGCTAAAAAAAGCAGCAAAAATTTGAAATAGAATTTAATTATTATAATTCGCTTGAATCGCGATGATTAATTACCGCTGTACGTGTGCGAAAAACGCACTGCTTTCAGGATCTTACCGTTAATCGGCCGCCACCTAACGTTTCGCTTAACTTTAGACGGACATCGACAGTCTTCTTAATGTCCCTCTGCAGTCTGCGGCCAAAGTCCTTAAACATTGTCGAACCACCTAAAAGCATAGAAATGTATAAATCTATGAAACAACTATGTATTTCGCTTTCAATTTATGAAAACAACAATAAAAATAATTGGGTGTTTTTTACGCGCCATCTGTTTGAAAACTGTATGATATGTCGATAAGAAATACCAAAAATACTCGCTGTTGCGAGTAGATTTAATTACTTAACAAGTTTTAAATATACTCGTACATGTTATAGGAACAGAAAGTCGAGTTAGTTTTGCAGTCGCAAAGTGTTTTTTATGCGAGATGTAGTCAAAAGTCATTTCTTAAGGAAATATCGTGCATTATATAAAGCTAATAGTATTCGATGATTAATAATCAAATGTACATCAAAGTCTTTAGCTGCTGAAATGAAAATGTAATGCAGAAAAAGTAGCATCAATTATTTTCTGGTAGTTTTGCTTGTTAATTTTGGAAATGTTTCTAATAGACTACTTGCAAAATTAAAAACCTATTCCGCCATATCATTCAGACAAAACGTTTAAATCATTAATTCGGAAACATTTCGACAATATCATACGTTTCTCAATACTTGAACTTGCCACTGTATTGGCTTCATTTATCGGGTGATTAAAAGGACTCCGTAGTGAGTCGGTGTTACTTCTTATAAACTATATAATTGGTGAATACATGGAACGTACCTGATAATACTATATTGTTGTACAAAGGCCTTCGAACATCAATTGGGCAGTTTTGAATGACATCGTCCACAATTTTCGAGATGGGCACATTGAAGTCCGGATTGGAAAACTCGGGATGAAAAAATATTTCCGGGCCGAGAAACCTAAGACAATCAACAGTTATCTTATGATTTTGACGCAGATTTCGCTTTTTAAATTTATTCACTTTTCATACTAATTATCGGAGTACTACGGAATAAATACGGCAAATAATTTTTACCTTTCGTATCCAACGTCCACCGAAAATGGATGTTTGGTTACTGCGTTTGTGCTTTCGTACTTTTTCATCCATTTGCCAGGATCGGAATCGTATTTTGCGAACTCTTTTGCTATGTCCGGGCAAATATAGCAGTATTTTTCTTTGATGGCTTTAGCGGTTTCAAGAGACTGCTCGGGAGGTATACCTAGTGAAAACAAACAATAAATAAGCAAAATTACAACTACACATTTAAGGATTTTACTATTTTTTTTCTTAGTTTCTTTAATAAAACACTAAGGTATAGAATCGATTGGTCATGTTGCGCTTAAAATGAGACAAAAAACCACGGCGTTGGCTGTGCTATATTGTTAACGATTATAAAAACATGTAATTTTTGTTCTCATCTCAAATCATAATTTTTCTTCGCTCTATTACAGTTTGTATGAGTATATAGTTTGAACTTACCTATTTCTCGTTCACGCAGAAGTGACTGAATGAAATAAGTAATGTTCCGCCCAGCAATTGGAATGTGCTTGATGCAACTTCCGATCACATAGCCCTCCGCCTGAAAAGATTAGCTATTATTTATTAAATATAAAACTTTATATTAACACACGTTTTAGTACTAGTTTTGCATTTAACTTACAATTACGATTTAAAACATACATCAAAAATTTACTTCGAATCGGAGTTAATAATTAAAACGACTAAATTTATATCCTGGTTCCATTTACTTACCACAGGGATTACATGAGTAACACCATCTCCACTATCAATCACGATACCCGTGAGGGTTCTTTCTGCTAGACTTCTGCTTGCCCAACTGGCTGCTAAAGCTAGCACTGCCTATAAATTAAGATAAAAACATTATAAAATAACGTAATTACAGCATCCTGTATATTACACTCAGCTTAAAGAGGCCACAAAATACACAATTAACCAGAAACAATTACAAGCTAATATAATCTCGTATAATAATAGCTAGTGGAAATGTTGAAGACGTTTTCGAAGCAAAGAAAAAAAAATATACACAATGAGTGATAAATATGCACTAATAAAGAAAGAAAAAGAGAAGAGTAAGAAAGAAAAAATAAAATAATTAAGTCCCTACTATTCATATTTTTTTGCAACTCAAAATTTGTTATTAAAGTAAATATTTTTAGTCTGTGTTCAACAACTGTAATTGTGTGTAATTGCAAATATAATTGAAGAGTGTAATTAAATTGAAACATACCTACTTATTGTAGTTTCAGAAAATATTTAAATTGAAATGATCCCCAATTTCCAGCATAAAATAACTGTTTAACTTCGATTCAAATAAATATTGAAACCGTCACTTCATTTCACATTCGTTTGAACACGTGGGCGTGTTCAACCTAATTTTTACCAGTAAATATACTTTGCATATAAATTTTTTGTTGGTATAATTGAAATCATTTAACGATTTTCAAAATAATCCAGTTCTGCGTACTGACCTGAACAGCGATGTACAATCCAGGAACGTTAAAACTTTCAAACATAATTTCAGCTGTATATTCCCGATTTTCCGGAGTGTTTAGTGGCGGTTCAGTTAGCAAAAAGTAATGATCTTCCGGCTCCGCTCGCAGATACTTGAAAATGCATTGTTCCAGGAATCGTTCCATAAGGTCCCAATCCTCCACCAAACCATGACGAACGGGATACTAAATAAAATACAAATGTTATCATCACGATTATGAATTGCAAAATATTCTAATCAAAATTATTAAAATTAGTGAATAATAAATAATCAATTTTATGGCATTTAAAAGGTACGCAAGTGCATCTAATGCTAGGCTGCCTTTCAATGAAGAGATGTGTTAAAAAAAAGTCTATGCCCGGTGATAATTTAAATAAAGGTAAACTACTTTAGAGCTATTTAACTACTTTATAGTTAGCAAACAATACTCTCAATGAAATTTAGTTGCATTTATCTATTTTTGATTCCATCCAATCTATCACTTACCTTAACTGCATAACCAGTGGCATTAAAGGCCTCATCTCCGATAAAGAAATCTAGATCTTCTACACCTTTAACTAGCCGTCGACTGCTTTGCTCCCCTACCTTAGCAGTTTCTTTTATGGCAATTGCCGAAGGGATAATGAATTGAGGTTCACGATTGCCGGCAAAACCTAGTTTCGTATAACTGAAACAAAACATTAGGTTGTGTAAAGTGACCATTTGTTTACAATATTTTGAATTTGCCTTTACACTGCTTCTATTCTAAGTACAGATATTGTTATGAAAAAAATTACATTTTTAATGACAAAAAAGAAATCAAAGATTAACCGAATAATGTCTGATCTGCTGAAATAACAATTTCAAAAAAATTCATACTATTCAATTTCTTAAATTAGTGGAATTGCCGGCATTTTACCGACGAAAACTGCCGAGGACTTCAAGTTGCACATTTAAGCATACTTCAAGAAACAGTCCCAGTATGAGTTAATTGTTAACAACCTTAAAACTACTGTGTTATGTAGACAAAAACTAACTTGACAGAATCTGTCCCCAAATAGTCAAATAAATATGAAAAACTATCTAGTCCACGTAGAAGTACTTTTGGGAGCGGAGCTTATCAGCAAAGAAATTCACAACTGCGATGCCCCCCATCAATCTGCACTCTCTTTCCTCCGATTAATTAATTTATGCACCCCAACGTATAGTTATACGAATATGATGTACGTATACATGAAAAACTCCCTTAATGATTGAAAAAAACTGTAATTTAGCTGTGAAGTCATAAATTAGCATACGCAGCTAGATGTTGTAGCTTTTGCAACTCTGGCCAACGCTAAGTCTGTACTCACCCTGTTCCCACATCAATAACACATGCTGGAAGCCTTCCGTCGGTCATTTTCACCAAAATTTTCGATTTTTACTTAAATTGAAACTGTTTATTTATTATCGGTCATCAGTCATCACTCACCCCCACTGTAACCACACCTTAAACTGTCAATCCAGAGACAAGTGCTTGTCACTGGTCAAACTACCGAAACAATGTTGTCAAGTGATAATGTATATCATAGATAAAGACAAGAATATCGGAAAATCCTACAATAAATATACAGGGTGTCCTGTAAGCACATGATCAAAAGGATACTGCGATATTCTTTGTATAACTTTTATTAACAAAAAATGTCTGGCTCCTTTGCTACTGATGGTCAGTTCTTCAAAAGAAATGATCTTTTTTGAAATATCGGGAGAATGGTACTAAGTATTTTGGTATTGGTAACCAAACAATTTACTTTCGAAAATTTATTCAATTTGAAAAAATATTAATAATAAATTAATTTATTAACATTAATCATATTAAGAACAATAGAATAGAGAACAATATTTGAAAAAAATCTGGTGTTCAGATCAGAGGTGGTAATTCTGGTGTTAAGCTTCTGTCCCATGTATCCGTTTATACGATGATACGAAAGTGTTTCTATTGGTTGCAGATCTGCCAGTTCATACGAAGACGGACGAATTGACAGATCCCCAACCAATAGAAACTCTTTCGTATCATCGTATAAACGGATGCATGGGACATGGGTTTTAGCTAATCCCTTCAGTCTCTTCAATTTTTTCCCATAATTCATTAGGGTTTCGCGGCCTAAATTTTTCTCTTTACATCTTTTTAGTTAGGTATCCGCACACATTCGTTATTTTATATAAAACCTACCGCTGTTCTGATGGTTTTTTTGTATATGTTTCAGTAAATCTTGAATTTGGAGGCCGGGAGACTCGAACTTTGCCATTATGTGAGGACCGAACACTTTTTCGCCGCCAAAAATTATGATCTTTTGTCAAAAACTTCATGGCGAATCGAACTATTTCTTGTTTATTTTATTGATTTAAAAATTATTTCGGCTCAACTACACGACATCTCAAGTTTGAAACTTGACTCGACGCTACGCAGGTTCTTGTGAAGCAAAGAAAGCTGTAATGTGTGCAGCTTCCAAAGCCGTAAAAAATGGGTTTTCTGAAGATGTGCGATGCGATTAGCGTGTTATAAATCCGTTGTGTTCTTCAGCAATCCCGTGCCCATCACGTGTTTTACAGTTGCATATCCTCTCTATTTCTTTAAAATTTTATAAATAGTGCTCTTCGGATTTCCAAATCTCTCAGCTACTGTTTTTGCTAACCAGCTTTCCTTGAATAATCTAATTATTTGAATTTTTCCAAGTTTATTTGAGTTTTAGTTGAGAAGGTAGACCGAGGTGGAAAGTTATACTTACACCACAACTATTTAATCGTCTACTTTATTGTGCTGTACTGTACTTTAATTTTGGAATAAAAATTGCCTTCTATTTTCAGACATAAAGTACATGAGCACTTTTAAATATGTATTGTCAAGTGTGCGTTCTCTCAAGTTTTAAATAAAATTTACTCGTTCATTATTCGACACATGGGAAGTTTTATGTTCTATTTTTGCTTAGGACCCCACAAGTCAATTTTATGAGTGACCTTTTTAATCAATACTTCGGGAAATTCTCTAATTTCTCTTATTTGGCACATAATTCCAGATTTTGAAAATTACGATGTTTTTTCCCAGTTCTGCGCAATTTATGCGATTGAACTTTTGTTTCAATTAATATTTACCTGCTGTAAATCGAGCAAATAGGGATAGTCAACTTGGGTGTTTCGTTAAGTCTAAACATTTGCTTTGCTTTGCTATTCAATACTACAAGTTGGGACGTTATATGTATATTTCTAGTCAACTTAATACACTTGAGGATATATTTTAAAATGATGATACTGATATTGCTTGAACAGCATGATGTTCCCTTAATATTCAACTGGACTCGAAGTTTGTATCATGACTTACAAGTGTCCAATGATCAAGTCAGTAATGTGTCATCTATATCCTCGTCTTTGCCCTCTGGTTGATGTAACATTTTCTTAAGCACTTTGTTTACAACATCTGATAATGATTCGCGGGCACCAATATCCAACGAATTTGACATTTTCTGAAAATTAGTATAATTTAGTTCTCACAATATGAAATTTACAAACATTCATCTATTGCAATTTTATTTTCCCGACTTTCACTGTTTAAAAAATAAGTACTTACAAGAAACACGGAGTCTCCATTCTTAAGCTTCAAAATAGCAATAAGAGCTATTTCGGAGTTAGCTTTCACGTATACGTTTTTTTCCTTTGTCCCATTTACCAGTGTTGGCAAAACCAATCTAAGAAAATCTGAAGTAAACTTCTCTGTAGGGATGATTTTCGCTAAATGGAATAATACTCTGGCAAGTAACTGCTTCACTTCATTGTTCGTGTTATTCATGGTCTAAAAGTGAAACCAATATTATAAAAGTCAACGATGTTTGAAGATTTCCTACCCTAACAAATGCAACTAAAACATTATTTGGAATGGCTTCACCATTGGAAATGATGTATTCAAGTAGGTAACCGCAAGATCGTATAGCGCTTTGGGTTATACTAACGACCTGCGATTGGAATTGGCTCAACAATACTTGACTTAATTTCATTTTGTACTGTTCATCCCACAGTCTTTCTGGAGCTTCTTTCAGTGCTACTGTTAGTGCGAATCCTCGACCTTCTCGCAATGTCATATTTGCACTTGCGTCGTCATCTGAAGATTAGCGAAATATTAAAAATGTATAAGTCACTTTGAGCAAATATAGAACAGACAAATCAAAACGACTAGTAACACAGTATTCATTCAATGCAAAAATATTTTGCACATAGTTCGAAAACCTGAGAAAACATATAAATGTTTGTTGTTGCAATTCAACAAGTAGTTGCATACTTTCTGAAATATCCTTCAAAGTAAATCTGGATCACGGTGATTCCTGCAGGTAGAACTGGAATTGATTCAATCGACTTACTCAATAAATGCTCTGATAGCGTAGCATCCAACTGCTCCGGTGATAAGTACTTGCAAATGGCCCCTAAACAACCAGCTGCACATTTTCTAACATTTTCCTCTGATTGTCCTAGATTTGTTAATAAAGTCGCGTGGATCTGCTTTTTGATTGGTTCGGACATTTTATCTCCCGCTGGAGTTATTATGCCTCTCAGAGCGTGTAAGGTTGTTTCTCTGTAATGTTAAAGAAACATGCTTAAGAAAAATAATGATATTGAAAAAAGTTTAAGGATTTAATAGCTCAATAAAACAAAAGTTACAGAGCCATATTTGCCCTAACTTTGAAACTGGAAAAATTCTTATTGCTCGATTCTATTTCAAGTGTTATCCAGTCCAATTTTTCTTCTGTCAGTAAGTGGTTTTGCAAAAATTTTGTGTTTCATATAAAATTTCTGCAGGGTGGGAAATAGAATAATGTAAACTTGCTCAGTTGACATGCTCCCAGTTGCACAAAAAATATGTTTATGGATTTCCACACCAAAATAAATAATCTACTTAAAACGCCTTTTGAATTTTTCGTCTCTCTTGTACTTACAGTTGTTCAAAAAATCATCTTTTTACGGTGATAATATTTTCTCCGGTGGAACTTTCAAAATATAAGGCTCATGTTGGAGCTAAAACTTCATACTCGACTGAAGATCAAAATTCAATAAACAGGGCATTAAAAGTGATGCATATCAGAACTGCAGAACAGAAAGTCTCGGATTGTGGCAGACCTTCAATTATAGTGAACATTACTTTCAAACAATCCGTTTAATGATGCAACTCTGCATATCGGATTTACGACTTAGGTCGACTATGAAGCTTTAGATTGAACATTAGCTTGCTATTTTGAAAATCTTGCCAATAAAATGTTATTACTGAAAGACCAAAAAGTTGAATTTTTAAGCTCACTCTGTTGGTAAAAGATATAGAGGTCTATTTTTATGCCATTTATCTTGAAATCCGAAGAAAGTAATTTTTTTTTCAAATTCGGAGCATGTCGATTTTTCCGAATTTACGAACTGATTACTTCAAACGATTTTGTTTCTGTTTGAAGCATTATCTAGTCGAATTCTATTTCTGTCCGTCCGAGTCTTTGCAAGAATTTAGTACTTCAGTTTAGTAACAGATAAAGTTTCTAGAGGGGGAAAAATGAAAAAAAAAATGTAAAATTTCGGAAAGTTCCGCATGCTCCTAGTTGGACAAAAGAAATATATTTTTTGGATCTGATCACCGAAAGTACAAAGAACAGCTATAAAGCTCAAAGCGGGTTTTTAATTTTTAGGCCATATTTCATAGGGTCTGGTCTCAAAAATAAACCCTTTGGTCTTGCAGCGATAACTTTTCTGGTCTGGGTCCGATTTTTACAATCTAGAGCTCATGTTGAAGCTAAAACTAAGACAAGAATTCAGTTCACTTTAAAAAAATTCGTTAATTTATGCAACCCGGCAATTGATTTTTTTGAAAGTTCACTGTGAAGTTTAAGCTTTCTTAGGTTTCAAAAATGGACTAAAGAGAAAAAATGTATCACTGCAAGATCGACATTTTTTGAAACCAGTCTATGTTTTTAGTTCCAAAGTTTTATTTGCCACCTTGGGGAAACTTTATCTAAATCACTAATTTTTTTGCAAAAATACGCTCTAACCGGAAAAGAATTGCACTAAATAAAACCTCAATCAGAAATAGAATCGCTTGCAGCAATCAGAATTTACCCAGTGTGGGACTAAATTTATGATTCGGACACTCACAAGTTTGGAACAAAAATATTGTTACCCTCCAGGTCAATACTTTTACAGGTAAAAAAGTATTTATCGGTTCTTCCACCCAGCGACACTTCATTTAAATTTAACAATTTAGAGCGAATTATAACGAATGCAAGTAAACTATGCCGAAAAAAATTCTCGAAACCTTTTCTAGTAATTAATTTATTGATAAAAATATTCTTTTACTTACTTGACAGCTGCGTCTTCATTATTTTTAATGCTATTATGTAGCTCTGTAAAAAGGGGGTCAGCCCTTTGATGAATAGGAATTAGTTCTCCAAGGGCGGCTGCAGACTTTAGCCTTACTGTTCGGCTCGGATCGTTGAGCGCTTTTAAAAATGTAGTTTGCAACTGCGGTAAGAACTGTTTCAGCATTGATCCAACCTAAAATATAATTTTATCCGTAAATGTTTGATATAAAATATGAATAACAATCGCATGTTCAAATAATTAGCTATTCATTCAATTAACGTCCACACAGAGAAAAACCACATGAATAATCCCATGAGACTAAACTGTGTTAACTTTGAATCATCAAGTTTATTCAAACAATAGGTGCCTTTACACTTACGCTCTTATAGTGTGTGATTGGAGCGCCCCGTTCCAGTGGCACACTAAAGAACGCTAGTTGAACGAAAAACACTGGCGAACGCGAAAGTTGCACGTTGAATCCTGCAGGCTTTGCGTTGCGGTAACGAAGTGCAAACTTTTGCACACATTTTTTGTACCTCCTGCTTTTCGTGCGGGATTTTACCGTGTGATATCAGAGTGGTCTCAAATTTCTGGTATTTTGCTTAGAAACAAATAATTGGTGAGACTAAATCCAACTTTTGAAAGTTTCAGAACCCATACAAAGATCATTTTTAAAGTGGTCAGGATAGTATTGTCGCAATTCATTTATTAATAACATATGCCCATATTTATTACGATCTTTCCTCTCGATTTTGTCACCCAGATTCTCTTTTTTTCTCATCCATCAAATTCATATACACATCTAGACACAGAGCCTTTTCATTTGTTAGTCTAATTTTGTCCATTTTGAGCCAAAACTGTGGTGTATTCTTTTAGAAATTCTAAAACTTCACGAGCCATGCAGTTCAGGCACGATATCTGCCAATTTTGCATTTGTTCTCAGAAGCTTATCAACTCACATGCACGGAACGTGGGAAAAGAGTTGGTGATTAGAACGTTCCAATTCTAGTGACACGCTCTTGGATCGCCACGACTTTCGCCAAGTTTTGAACGCGATCTTGTCGATTCTGATCCGAGCGATAAGAGCGTAAGTGTGAAGGCAACTAATGTGTTTATACCTTCAAATTCAAATAATGCAGAAATCGGTAATTTTTTAACGATAGAGTATTTAGGGATACCAACCTTAGATAATAACGTAGCTAACGTTTCTAAAACAGCAGTCTTTACGTTTGCACCGAACCTATCGCCCAAGATTCGAATGAGTGGTCCAGTTATAGCAACGACACTTGGTTGAAGTGCCGTAGAATTTGTTACCCTGATAATTTCTCCCAAACCTACAAAGCAAAAACGTTTTTAAAAGTCATCGTATAAAAACCGACAAAGCACAACAAACCAAGTAAATAATTTTACTTGAATTTAATTCTGATTAAACATTTCAAAGCATTAAGGAAATAATGCAGTGTAAACTTTCAGCAACTGGTTATAACGTTCTGAGAAAACAAATAATTAACTGATATAATGTGAAACTGAATTTTGATCAGATATACAGCAAAACTCATATATTATCTACCTTGTGCTGCTGCATCTTTTTCATCGCCATCACCATTGAGAATTGCTTCCCGAAAAATGGGCAAAATAGGTACAATTCCTTTTGGCAAACAGAAGCCAGGCAGTAGATCTGATATGCCTTTCAGATCGGACATGGCATATCGCACAGCTTGTCGAACGTCTGATACATAAGCAGCTTGTTGTTTTGGTTCCAACGTCTGAAAAAAAATTACAATTTAATTTGAGGATTCGTTTCAAATCAGTAGTTTGTGTTGATATAAAAAAGTGTAATTGACGTGAGTTATCAATATTACTTTCGCAAAAAACCTGCAATTAAATAAAATGTTTCCTTTGGAAAATTACCATATGAGAGAACACTTGATTGGCGTTTTAATTAGGTAAAATAAACATTTTTAAAACACTTGCACATCTTACATTTACAACACTTACCTTGGTGACTGCGTTCAAAGCTTCCCAAGCTCTTTGCAAAACGTCTCTATCATTATCAGTCATCAAGAAAATTAAACCTCTAAGTAGCTGAGGTACATGGGCTGCATATTGAGCTTTGGAATTGGCACAGAAAGCGCACAACAAGGTAGCTGCTGCTCTTCTTTGATCGGCATCTTCCGTTTTAGTGTTCTGCAGCATGGTGTCTATAACCGTACGAATGCCTACATCATCAACCACTGAAAGAATCACAGCTTGGCAATATTCTAGTTCCTAAAAAATGAAAAAAAACTTATATTTAAGCCATTTAGATCATTTCCCACTTTATAGCCACATTAAGTATTTTCTCCCGAATGGGAACTGTAAAACAGGGAATATAAAAATACATTTTTTTCTTACTTGTGCCTCTTCCGGGGTACCCTTCGAAGTGGCTAGCGCCTTCTGCAAAGCTGGTAAAATCCTCGGCAAATACTTGTTCAATGCTTCCCCAGCAACGGAAGCCAGTATGGATAGGGCTTTAGTATTAGCCGGAGGTGCCGTCAACTGTGGTACCAAATAGGGCAAAACTACCCTGGATTTTATGGCCATCACTTGTCTTAAACCATCAAGTGTACATTCCACTACTGCTGGATCGTCATCGTTCTAAAAGAAGCAAAGTACGCAAGATGGTAAGTCGATGTATGAGTGCCTCATCAAGTTTATGAGAAAGCTTCGATACTTACCAGTTGACTCAAAAGATTGGGCAGAATATCGTCCAAAGCTCTAGAGCCCACAGTTGAATGCAAACTATCGAAAGTTTTCGCTGCTGCCTGCCGAACTTCCGGCAGAGGATCGCATAGAGCACGCCTAACTGTAGGCACTAGTGAATTGACAAATGTATACACCATGTCCTTTGAAGTAGAAGCCATTATTTCTGACAAACCGATGCAAACACCTTGCCGTTGATCTGCCCGCTCAGATTCCAAGCCTTCTTCGAGAATGGGAATTATTTCCGGTAAAACTCTTTCGCCTAATTTTCTGACTAAGTCTCCCAATGTTCTCGCCGCTACTTGCCTAATAAAATAAAAATCTTGACGCCAGTACCATTTGGATGGATTACCGTCAATAATATGCTTCTGTAGCATGAAAGCAACGTTAATTCCAGTTCTTAATAAAATTATTTAAATACTATATTGACTACTAATATGATTGAGGACATACATGTGGCTACAACAAAATGAGGTAGTTTTGTATATTCATATTATTTTAAACAGAAATTGATGCTCATCAAAGTATGAAAAACGAAAAAGATGCTTTGTCATTTGTTGAAAACAAAAACAATAAAGATATATATCTAAACAACAATCTGCATCTCGAATTGCAGCAAACCTAAAATGATTCGCATATTTAACAACTTACCGCTTATCGTAACTGTCACTTGCCAAACAGCCTAGTAACAAATTGAATAAAGTAGGCAAAATTTCCTTGAGTGTTCTGGGAGTGTTCGTAACTACGACCTTCCAAACGTGCAGGGCAGCTTGTCGCACCATCAGAGCTACGTCTGACCTGCCCATATATAAACCAGCCAATACTCGATTTCGTGTTTCTCGACCTTAAAAGAATAATGAACTATTTGGAATATGATCGGAAATTTTCTATATGAAAATGTACCTAAGGCGTTGATAATAGCCAAGTGAGACTGTTCAGTTCCAAAATTATCATCCTCACTTGCGGTTTCTGTGCTCATTTTACCAGTTACTCCCGATATGCGGTACAAAAGATCCCCTAGCAGTTGCACCGAACTGGAAAACAAAATTATGTCAAATTAGAAAAAGCCAAAATACTTTTCAATAATTAATTCTAACCTGTAGCGAATTCTCCAATTCTCATCAAACAGCCCCTTTTCCAGTTCAGGTAAGAGCAATAAAATTGCAGACTCTGCATATAGATTGACGATTCTTTGGCCAGCTTTTAAAGCTGTTTCCCGAACGTACTCGTTTTCATCTGCCAACGCTTTGAGTATGGGATTTATTATTTGACCGATGTATTGGGTAAATTCGGGAGTGAAAACACTGGGCATATAAATGAACATCATAATGTAGCCGTCTTTTACGTGAGGAGCAATATCGGTTCTTTCTGCCGTGTTGATTATATCCGGCATCAACTTGTGCAGCTTTTCAACACCTAAAAATATAGAAAATATGGAGATACTCTTTACACTTGTCAAGCTCAACTTAGGGAACTCAAAATATATTTAAACATAGATACATTAAATTTCCCAGATGTAGATAAATGTAACATTTCCTTTCCCCATAAACTTGAGAAAAAAGGCCCCGATATAGTGATTCATTCATAGATGGAAACCCTGACAAAGAGCAGCCTAAAATATCTAAAACCTTACCCAGTCCACCTACTACTTCCGACAATCCTTGAGCTGCTCCAGATCTATCTACTGAGCTTGACTCCGATGTGAGCGTTTTCATGAGCCATGGCAGTAAATCCTCAAAAGTAGTTTCTCCCATTCCCCGCACCATCGCTCCTAAAGCTCTAGCGCTTACTGATCTCACCTCTGGAACCGGATCAAGCAGAGAAGTCTTTAAGCCTGGTATAATAGTCGGCAAATAAGGCATCAGATCCTTCTGATCGGTGAGAGAGTACATATTTCCGATGATTTGTGCAGCCATTTTGCGTGTTTCGGTAGATCGGTCCATAAATGCCCGCTGAACAACCGGCATTATTAAAGCCAGAGATGGTGCATCAATGAAATGCACGAACTTGGTATCTAACAATGTTTGCAGACACACTGATGTTTTATTTGATGGATCTTGAAGGGCTCTTAGGAGGACCGGAACAATAGCTTAAAAAATACGACGATGGTTTGCGCTTCAAATTGATAAATTTAGATGCAACAATATATTAATTGCTATTGATCTAGTTGCTTACCCTGAATCTCAGGATTCCTAATGACGGAGCCAATAACTTTAAGAGCCTTTGCACCAGACTCCTGAACTTTCATGTGCGAATCACTGAGAACTTCTATGAGTTTCGGTACTATACTGGGAAGACAAGAAGATAATTGCTTTGGGGCACAAAATGCCATGGTACCAAGAAGATCTACAGAGCCTAAAATTACATAAAAAAATATACATAATTGTTAATGTGTCGATAATACATAATAACCCAACTGTAATTGTTGTAAATCGCTGAAAGAGAGTAAGAACTGAGATTGTAAGATGGGAGTATCTACTTTGTATAATTCAAATCTGCACAAATTAAATGCATCATTAATTTGTAGTTTAATGTTCAATTTTATCCGTATTGTTAGAACACAGATTAACAGTCGCATGTTATGAGTAAAATTGCCGCCTGGAGAGCCAAAAATCAAGAGATTACAAAAACCGGTATTGCTTCTAAGAAATAACAGCGGAAATTGAAACAGGAATTACACAATGGTGCTAAAAGGTGATGAAAAATGGGACCACAAAACCCTGTCGCTAAAACTAAGGCAACCTAACTCAGTCCTAAAGTGAATAATTCTGGAGATACATGAGTGCAAATGGTTCAGGTGCTTGTGTTGTTTGAGTCCCTACAAATTTGATGTTGCATTTTACTTTAAAGAACACTTCAAATTAAGCACTTTCAGTGAAAACATTTCCTTGTAGGTCCATAAATTAAGCCAAAAAAGGCACACAAAGTTTGAGGAAAATCACCATTTTCGGGCTAAATTTCGAGCGAAGTTATTGAAAAATTTTCCTTGGATACTTAGCATGTAGATTTATTTAATTTGGGTCGGTTAAGATTATTTAAGTCTTTTCGGGTCATTAACTTTTCATTTTTGTACATTTTTTTAGTTTCATTTAAAAAATATCTTAAATCCTGCTAACACAAACTAACTCAAAATTAACCGAAAGCAAAAATAGGTGGCAACGTTGCATTGTGTTTTGAGCCGCAAGCTGCTCAAATTTTTGCGAAAAACACAATATTATGCATCTTAGCGACAAATTGGAGTTATGAATTGCTGATACCTAAAACCAGTGATGCCATACTAGAAATTAAAAAAAAAAATTTTCTTGGAAGGAATTATTAATATATCGGACTACAGAAGGCTAACAAGTAGAAAGGAACCACAATTTGTTTTAAGAAATCTCAATTAATTAAGAATCTCCTTTTCTTTTTTAGATGCCTTTTAATTTCCCGGAAATTATTTTTACTGGGATATAAAAATCAATACACCTGCAGTGAGTGTGATTTGCAACTACCTCCTCTACTTATGAACTTTTTCAAATACCTATTTAAATTAAATTTTATTTCGTTATATTCTGCAACGTTTTGAAAACAACGACGTGTTTGTGACGAAATGATTAAGTGAAACATTTTTTTTCCTTGGGCATTCGGTCTGGGTAGTGATGAGAAAAAGGAAAGTGTATCGGTCAAGAAACTTCACTTATGAAACGATTAACGGTTAATCGTTTGACCTGCACTTATCAACCGACAATATAATAAGTAATATAAGTAATATCAATTACTAGAAAAATCATTTATAAGGCAGCAATCTGTTAAATAGAGACATAGCTACCGGGAAACATATCTAGCTGTTTTTACCAGTTTTTGTTCTCCAAGAATCCTCTTCTAAAGCCTCGAGAAGAGAAGGTAACACTAATTTAACACCATGACCGGATAATTTGCCCATTACCACTCTTGATGTGTCGTGAGCGGCATCCCTAACATATTGGCTGGTGTCGCCAAAACATTGTAACAAGTGCGGCAGAACATGCACAATATAGGGCTCAAACAGTTTACCGAGCATTTGGAAAAGCATTTCAAAGGCAAAAAGAGCACCTAAAAAGTTTATAGTGATTACCGACCCCGTTTAGAAACTATCATTTGGCATTCACCTTCTCGGTGTTTATAGTTCTTTTTATCTTGCACGGCATCGGTGAGCTTGCTCATAATGTCATTTTGCTTCAGTGCCAAAATGCCAAGACCTTTAATGATTCCTGCTAGACCATAAGCGGCTCCTTTTCGTTCCCCATATTTGTCACCCTTTAACAACTGATGAAGTAGTTTATTAATATAGCCTGGGGCTTCATCTCGCACACATGTTGCTAAAGGCGGTAAACAGTTTGCTACTGCTTCTTGAACCTGAAAAATATAATTAGTTGAGGCCAATCTACAGATATTGCGACATAACTAGAAATATATTGACTTGAATAAAGCATTGAATATAACATTTACTTTATCTTAGCTTTAAGATGTAAATAAATTGATATGGTTTTGATGACTTTTTTTTAGCATATTTTGATACATATTAAGGCTCTTTGGTACCATTTTCTATGAAAATATCACATTGAATATGGGTACATTATTATAAAATAGGCTGATTTGTGCACCATAAGTCAACATAGGAACACATTTTTCAAAATAAAAATAATCGAAGAATCAAGTAAAAAACAACGGAAAACGAACGAATACAAACACATGCAATCTAGGCCGTATACTTTCAACTAAATAAAATAAAAACTTACTGTTTGAGATGGTGTCGATAATGCTTGTATCAAGCGAGAAAATATAGGTTTAATTCTAGCATCGTCCTTTTCTAAATGCCTGGCCAAACAACCCATTAGTACTACGACTGCTTGTTTAACCGCATCAAAATTGGCGGACTTTGACGATTTACCCATAAATTCATCAAAGACCGGCCATAAAGTGCCGACCCTCTCCTAAACAACCAGAAGAATAAATTAATCGATTGCACAAACATTAAGAGTCAAGTGGATTTTATACCTTGCCATGTAAGTCGACAATTCTCAATGCTGCATTTAACATCTCTTTTCGCACAGTCTCGCTTCTGTCGCTCAGAGACGAGAAAACGAAGAAATGAATTAAATTGCTAACTACATCTGGAGTAATTAGCGGTGCTAATTCTGCAATTGCCACCGCTACCCCTCTTCTAGGGTCCCACGTATCAACAGCCTTTTCGATTTCTCTTCCAAATTCATCAAGTTTTGCTGGAGTCATCTAACAAAATTAATTGAAAATGTAAATATACGTATTACAAGCTGATCTGATCTTTTCTAATGTATTAGAAGCGATTCCTAGTTTCCGCTTTAAAATTTTACATTACCTTGAGTCTATCGTTGTATAATTTCAACAATGAGTTAATGGTGGGCTGAACTTGATCTCGATCGTTTTCCAATAAGGCTGCAAGAGCTTTGCCAGCCGACGTTTGAACAGATTCTATCGGATGTTCAATGTCAGCCATCAATTCAGTACTGAGCGATGCAGGAAACTCCATTCGGGCTTGAATCCATAATTTCTCAGCCAATATTCTAGAAACATTATGTTGTTTTGTTTATAATGTCCATAACATTATAAAATTAATCAAATGCCTCACCTATTTTCATGAACTTGATCGAATCGCGATATCCAAACTCGCTTATTAAGCCGAAGGGCATACTCATAATCATCCTCAAAAGTAGGCAAAGATGAAACAATGATTAAAAGGGCGCGCAAAGCAGCATCTCTGCCTACATCAACTTTGCTTTGCAACGCCGACAGTAAAACGTCGATTTCGTCCAAAGTAGCCTTAGCGCAACCTGGGTTACCGCTTACGCTATTTGCAATATCAAGCAAGCACGCTTCAGATTGAGCCTGAACTCTTCCTGAACTATTACCTGCAAGATGAAAGTACTAAAATAGCAAATGAATCAAATTTGAAACAATTTTGAGAAGCTTTAGCTTGTTGACTGCACTGTATATGTAGCAGGAAGCGCAAAACTTCCAAATTATTGTCAATAAACAAATTAAGGGCAGAAAGACCGACTGGGTCGATAGCCTTTTTCTGAAGATTATTTATAATATATATAAACAATTTACTCTTTGGAGAATTTACAGAAATTGGAGTTGATCTGTTCTTAACAATTGTAATCATGCATTCTTATTCAAATTTATCATCGGTTTCTTTGAGACATATTTTCTGTACGTTTTTTACGGAGCGCCACTAATTAAATGTACATTTTTATAACGCATATCCTTCTTTTATTTGCATTGATCAAATCTGTACGAATAATTATCAATATATTGCAAATAACTAACAAAGGAGCAGATAATCAAATACTCCTGAAGAAAAGTTTAACGAAAAAACCGCGAGTATACTTTTTTGCATAACAGCGAGATAAATAAACTGTCTTAAGATTTTCAAAATGAATCGCATTCCTGATTATTAGTGTTTCCATTATGAAGAGTTAATAATAATGATAATAAAAGCAATACTTACATATGATATCAACCAATAACAAAAACATTTGTTTGGTAGGCAAATATTTAGGATGATAAATATTCAGATTTCGACCAACGGAAGAACCTCGGACCTTTGCATGTTCGGAAATGAATTGAAGCCCTGTGGTAATGAAGTCTTGATGATCCTTGGCGTAATTCGATGTCAAACTATACTTTACAAATGGAAACGTGTAGCTAAAGGCTGGCGCGGACAAGCAAGCAATCTTTTGATTTTTTTCTTCGGTTTTCTTTGGCACCGTTTTGTCATGAATCAATCCCAACACACGAACCATCATTCTGCTTATAGGCTCCTCTTCCCAATTTGCATCAAGATCACATTGGGGCTTGCACAGTCTGATCGTAATTATACCGATTAATTCTCCTAATATTTTCATGTCAGGTGGAAAGACGGTTTTACTCAGCTCTAGGAACAGTTTGGTTAGATGTGGCGCCGCTAATGGAGACTGTAGATTATGAAGAATCAGCGGCAGCAGGTCTTTGTAATGTAATGATAGTTCCACAGGATTGCCCTTGGCTGCTGCTTTGACCAAAGAAATACTTTTGCTTATAACTTCATTTAACTAGAAATGAAAATAATATGTTATTTTGACTTCAAAGCCTAAAACTATCGAAATGCATTGACAATCTATTATAATTTCAATTATTTTTGCATCGATATAACCGATCAATGATTGTCAAACAGCACTTATATTTCGAGGATTAAACGGGTTTTTGTTGGAACGGCATGTTTAAACAATGTGTGTGTTAAACGTCGATGTACACCATTCTGGCATTAAAGTAAGATATATTTTAACTAAATTATATCTATTCTAGAAGAATGTAACAGATAAATTCAATTTTAACTTTATATCAAAATATACTCAGATTCTTTGCCAAAAAAATTTTTTTTAACATACCTCAGTAAGTTTATTTCTTATTCCTTCCTCCTTAATAGTTTGGTTCTTAATAGCCTCCAACTGCTTAGGAGTGAATTTAACTTTGCCGTCTTTCTTCTTCTTTTTTTCTGCCAACTCTCTTCGTAACTGCATTTCTTCCAGCTGCTCTTTGTAACTATAAGCTTTACTCTCCCTTTTCAAATTCATTTCGTCGTTACTGTCGTCGCCTGGAATTACGCTTTTATCGTACAGCTCTCCATCAGGAGTCAAAAATGTGAAATAATCATCCTTTGTTATTTGGCTTATTCGGGGATCTTGCAGACCTTGTTTCAATTTGCTCAGCAAATCGGGCAGTATTACTTCGGGATTAAGAGACATCAGTGTAGATAAACTATTTTCATAAGTCTAGAATAAAATCTAAATGTAAATAAATCTAAATGTGTTTAATGCATTAGTTAATAACTTGGAAATTTGTCAGCTGGTTATAGTTAGTGATACCATTGTATCAAGTGCATATCAGGGCCGTTTGTGGAGTTAGACTTACCTGGCATTCTTTGTAGTTATCAAGCAACTTTTTCTTTAATTCTGGAGCTCTCTGGGCTACCAACATTTTGGGATTCAATTTTAGGTATTTGGTAATTTTCACCCATAATTTTGGTGTTCTATCAAAAACCAGCGGATAATGACAGGGTAATATGGCGCTAATTACAAGTGAATGAGCATCCCCTGCTGATACACCGACAGCTGAACATAGAGTTGTTATAAATCCTGATAGGGCATGGGCAGTGCTGACAATATTATTATCGCTGTTGTCTTTGGAAAATGAGATTTTATTATTGCTCAACAACACTTCTAATTGTGTTAAAAGGGCAATCTTAATTTGAGTTCCTTTGGAGCCTGCAGATATGGCTTTAACCTTTGATAAGGACTTCAATCGAGTCTCAGCTTTCGGATATAGGGCACAATGGATGATAGCCTTCAAAAGGGGTTCGATTTTGTTACCTATTTTGTTTGGGTACTCAACTAGTAGGTTTATACATAGCTCAGCGACATACGGCAACACTGGAAAATAAACATTTCTATTATTGAAATAAACTGCTCAACAAATTAAACGTTAAACGGTCAATTGTCTCCTATCTTTCGAACTGGATCAATTCTGATTGCTTAGAGCGCTTTGGTTGCTGTTTCAGACGTTATCTACGCCATTTTATTCCCTTCAGTCCGTGCTTTAGCAAAAATTAGTACTCACTTTGATTTATGAATTAGATAAAGGTCTTACAGAGTGGAAAATGAAACAATGCAAACTTTGCGAAAGTTTGGCAGATAAACAAGAAAGGTCCTCCGTAATTTTCGTACAAGTAGACCTCAATTTTCAAAATCAACAATCGTTTACAGCTAAAAAAAGTCGAGCAAGAATCGACTGAACACAAACATTGAATTCTATACACGGTTACCTGAAAAGTGACCCAAACCAAAACTGCCTGCGATTCTGACAAAAGTTAAATTAAATTAAGTTTTCGTTCAAACAAGCCGTTCATTCGGAACGCTGTAGGATGTTTTATACTTGCATAACTGAATATTGTTTAGTGGAGATACCAAGTGGCTCATCTAAAGAATCCCAGATTTCGTGGACAGTTCTGATTTGGGTCGCCTTTATTGCAACGCTGTATATTGAATTGCCGTCTTCAGTCAATTATGTTGATTCAAGAGAAAAATAGTATCATTGTAATACCAAAAAGTTGATTTTTTTAGATCACCCTGTATATAAAAGGTATTCAAAAGCAGAAACATGAAGTAACCGTTTCGTAATATGAGGTCTATTTTTAAGGATTTGGTGTTGCAATTTAAAAAAAAGAAGGTCTTTTGTTTAACTGGGAGCCATACTTTTAGAAATTTTGCATTCTTTCATGTTTTACGCTGCAGAAACCTTGTTTGAGGTATTTAATTTTTGCAAAAACACTAGTTAACAGAAATATAATTCGACTCGATAATGCCTCCAACACAATTTATCCAGTTCCAAAAATAGGGCAAATTTGGCCGTGTGTACGATTTTGTTGACCAGTTTAGTTAGCTAATATGTATACAGTGTGTAACAATGATTTACGTTCACCCACTTTTTTGGTATTAACTCGAATACTACTAAACCAAATGAACTCATCTTTTTAGGAAATATAGTACATATGACCAGTAAACTTGCGATCGAAATGTGATTTAGACAGATTTTCTCCCAAACAAACAATATTTTTTTTCTAATGTATTGATTTTCAGACCGTGTTACGGTCTGAATGATGATTGATGATGATTTAGTTTCACTTGTGAAAATCGTAAATTTATTAAACTTTAAACAATAAAACAACCGCAACAAACAAAAAACCGAAATTATAGGTACAATGCACAATACACAGTACAATAGGTATAAAATAATGTTATCAGTATTTCACACTGGCTGTGAGGGTTGAGCAGTCAAATTCATTTTCTCGTTTTTATTTAATTTTAGTCCATTTTCTCGTTAGCTGTTCTCTACTGTTTTAATCATTTTGACATGCTTAGTTGGGTGCTCTTGGGGATGTTTGCTTGTGTTTTGACGCGTAAGTTCCCGCATTTTTTAACTCGTTTTTTATTTGTTACTATTATTTTGTTGTTTTGTTGTTTTTTAACGGCCCCGATGATTACGTAATTGTTGAAACCGTACACCTACATACATACTTTATTACTAATAACTTGTTTGGCTGAATTGTATCCAGTGTGTACAGACCCACTTCCTCCCCAATTACTTACTGTTTTCACTTGCGTTCTGTAGAAATTTATCAGCAACAAATAATTGTTTGTCCATGTCGAGAACCGTATTCCACATATTTGATAAACCGTTTTCTTTCTCAAGTTTTGCTTTTGATATGCCGATGAGCAATAACGATGCACATAATCCTTCACTAACAGAATTAGGTTGAATGGGCTGTGCAGCAGCTTTTTCAACTGACTTTAGGAGTGTTGGAATTAAGTCTGAAGCTTGTAGCATTGTCTTCAAGTTGAAAGTTTTCAGCATGCATTGAATGTAAGAAATTTTAACTAGTGGAGTAGACGATTTTAACGATGGTCCTTTCTAAAATAACATTTTCACGTCAATTCTTATTCTTCAGTACATCCCATTTGATATACCTTGAATATATCCATTAAGTCTTTGGGAACTTCTTCGCTTATTTTACTAGTCCAGAATGACATCATTTCCAAGGTAAAACATAAAGTTTTCTCGTGACCTTCACTATCCAGCACTTTAATAAAATGTGTCATTGCTTTTGAAATTAGAGCTGGCAGGTTTTCAGCAGCGACGTTATTGTAACTAAAGTTAGCTGCACCCTAAACATAGAAAATATATTAGGGAAATGAAGATAATTGTATAACACGAAACAAAATATTATATATAACACTGTAAAAAATAAATATGCTTGTCATCCACACTGAATATTAGAAACATAACGTTTTAATATTTGTAAAATGCTTAAGGTGTCATTTTCTATACATAAAAGGTGTTTGCAAATATCATACTTTGTAGGGTTTACTATTTTGGACATCCTAATAATGCTTGTTTATATCAAAAATACTCTAACTTTGCTAAGTGAAAGTAAATTTACATCTTATGAGAAGTATATTTTATACTTATGTCATTGTCTTTTAGGACTAAAAATGGATTAACTCGCGCATAAAAATTAGGGAGAAAAACTAATCCTTTGCTCATTGTGGTGTAGATCCCACGTTTCAATTGCAAGCATTACGATACTGTCCCCACCTATTAGACAAGTTGGTGCATGCGAAAAAGGAAGAGTTTATCATGCAAAAACGTTTGGCATTATTTTAGGGTATAGAACAACCTGAAATAGTGAACAGATCCACAGATCTCTCACTTTATTATCTCCACACGGTTTATTGTCCCTTTCTGCCCGAGTGAAAGAAAACAAAGCCACAAAACCAAACAAAACAGAAATTATAATTAGAAAAAATCCACTAGATGCTGACATGCAGTCAAACTATCCAGAAAAAAAAACAGAGCATTACAAAATAGCCGCTCAGCATGGTGTCCTTTTCTAGCACCGATAATCTTTGTACCGTTTAATGCTGCGCCCAACACAAAAGCAACACAATCACGACGGTAAAAAATTTTAAGTGTGGACGTGCTATATGGTAAGTTGGTCCCAATTCATTCAAAATCAGATTTATTTTGAATGAATGATTTTCGACTGCAGATTAAACAGAATTGTTCCACTGTGTGGACGACTGAAAACATGCAGATTTGATTTGTGAGTGGAAACAACTGGAAAGAACGTTCGAGAAAGTCTAAAAATACAACTACCTCGAACGGTATGTTGGCCTTTCCGTGCATTTGGTGTAAATATGGCACTAACTTTATAGAGCCCTGAGGATGACTTAAATATAGTCGTAACGTCAGCAGATGAAAAATAGTGTTTTATTTTTGCCACCATCTATTGACGAAAAACCCACAGACTTAAATAGGCGTGTTACTGATTATGATCACGGTCACTAACTAACCACTTCATTCGATGCAATACTCACTAAAGGCGCGTTTTCGCTTGCCCGCAAAACCCATAAATGCTTTTCGTGAATTAACATGTTGAAAACAAGCACTTTATTATCTCTACACTACACGACAGAAAATGAAAGTCTGCAAATGGTCTTAATCATCACTAAACCCAAAAATCTAATCGAAAAGAACAAAAAAAAATTGCATCGAACGATCTACCAACCGGAGGTCAAGTTTTTCATTGACATGTTCCAAGCCAAACGTTACAATTCTTACAAAGTAATATAATTGCAAAACTTAAAGAAAAAGTAAATAAAAATAAGTCTTGAAATACTAACAAACAAAACCTTCTTTCCTTACGTATGATATCATCCTGTATATAAAAGTGCACATGTTGCTTATTCAAACAGGACACATTATTTAGCACATGTTTGCTCAATACTTTTATTTCAGTCATACTTTGTTTCATCTTACTTAGAAAATTAATTACTTAGAAAATTAGTTTTATTCAACACTACTTTTAATTGTAAAAACTTAATATAACGTTTAATGTGGAAATAAATAAAACAACAATAAACAAGTTAACATTTCTAAATATAAAAAACATGCTTACTAATTTAAATAATATTACCTGTAAGACCCCCATTTTATGTTCAGCCACAGTTAGTTTTCCATTCGAACCATTGTAGACATCAAAGGTTCTCCTCAACAATTCCTCAATTGCTTTCGGCTCACTAATTTTTTCTGCCAAATACTTGCAACCAGCAGCAGAATGTAATCGGGCATTTTCGTCCTTCGAATGCAAATTTGCTGAAAAGTGTATTTTATAATACCAAACAGATTAGGGCTAAGTTCGTCTTCTTACTTATTAAGCTGCTGCCAATTTCCATCGCACAACTGCTCAAATCCAAGTTAACACCCGCCAGCACAAGTCCAACAGTTTCTAAAATACGTTCAGGGTTTCTCAACATTGCCTTTTGAAGTGCAGGCAAAACAAGTCTGTTAAACAAATTCAATTTTACTTCGGCAAGCGTTGGGTAGCATGCTTTGAGAACATTAGCTGGGGGAGGTATTTTGACACTGATGAATACTTTTATAAGTGTTTCTAAACATTTCCCCTAAAAACGATAAGAGAGTAAATATTTAAATAATTTAATATATGCAAAAGATGAATGTATGTACGTATGCAAAAAAAAACATAAACCTACTATACTTTCACTGACAACATCATTGTCTTTATCTGAATGTCTTTTAATCATAACAGCCTGCATAACCGCTACACAGGGGCTCTGGTTCATTAATTTTAGCATAGTAAAACAGGCTGTATCACCTTTAAAATCACCTGGCCAGGAATCGTTCAACTGTAACAATTTTCAATAATTAATAAAATTGACAGATTGTTGTTCACAAAGAATAAGACGAATAACTAATAACTTACCAAATCATATGCTTTCTGGATTGTCTTTCTATCTCCACCAGCAACCACGCAGGTGAGAAAAACCGCCTGCGTTTGCAAAAGGCCACACAGATTATCGTAAATTAACCTTTTCTGGATAATCCACCCATTCTTAAATATAATCGTACTCCATTCAAGAGCACATAAAGCAGTGTGACTCACATTATCACTAAAATAATATTTCATCTGCTATATTGAAACGAAAAAGTTATTGGCCTCCAACCCAATTAATTAATTATTGATGGTGAATATAGCCATTTATAAATTACATTCAAAGGTGTGTCAAAAAACGCATAATTTGAGACTACGGATGATTTGAGAACCGTTAAAGTAAAACAGTTTAAACTATTTCTCGCAAAATATATTTAATGCTTGAATATGTTTGGCGCCATCAGAATCAATCATCAAAAAATCAAGTTGTAATTAATTAAAAAATCAGCCGTTTTACATGATTGTGTCACTAATTCTACCCTATACACTTGATATATTACAATGAAGTTAGTTGCAATAATTAATTGTAAATCAACTTACCTCACTGCTAGTTTCTTAAATTGATCTGCGACGTTTGCTAGCTCTGCTGTAAGCGTTTCTACTGAAAATTCTGGGTATCGAGTAAGCAAAAACTTGACAAAACCTCTTACAAAAGCCCTAGAGGTGTCATCTCTGTACCGATGCAAAGTGATGGGTACAACTTTGCATAATCTTCTAATTAGGTCTTCAGTGATATCTGGAAGAAAGAATCCACGTCCTATAACGATTGTTATAGAACATGATATGGTGATGATGTAACGGTACGATCGATAACAAAACTAAATTAATTGACTCATAGAATCTCACAATTAAATTTGGAAATTTTTAGTATTTTAGACGATACTTTTACTACTTATGTACAGTAATTGGAGTAATTGAATTGAATTGATTGTACAAATTTGTATGATTATGTATGATTATGTATATGATCTATGTTCTAGGACGAGAGACAGACTAGTAAACAATTGATTATACAACTTAATTGTAATAAAATAAGTAAGATTCTAAGTAAGTTTAAATTCAGAAATCTTTGAATGATTCGATTGTAATCGGAACCTCAAGCAGTGGTGAAACTTCCTCTTTCGTCTCTTGTACCGTAATATACTATTATTTTCGTTGTAGAACTACCTATACAGGGTGTCCCGTAAACTGAAGATCAAAACAACACTGCCACATTCTTTGACTCAAAATAAGACAATCGAATCCAACGAACTTGTATCCAAGTATACTATAATATTGTTTCCCAGATATAATTATCAATAAAGTAACTTTATATATGACACAGACATTTTTTTCTGATTCAGTCCTAGAGATAAATGCGAAATTAATCCTGCTCCGTTGGGTTCAAATGTGAAATTAATCAAGTTACAACTTGCTCCGTATTGTGTCTTTCTTACTACAAACATTTATTAATTATGCGAATGCACTGGACAATGATCAGAATTGGTCATTTTCACCCAAAAATATGTGCTATTCCTAATAGTCTATCGAAAATGAAGAACCTTAGTGGTTCAAAAGACGACGATCTGACTTCACTTTTATAAGATAAAAATGTTCCGATATTGATGGTAAAATTTCTTCAAAAAAATTTGCATTTTTTTTTAATATTGGGTGAACGATAAGAACTCGTTCTCAATTTGTTCTTACTTAAGACTCATATTTTGCACAAAAACTATCAGTACTTTGTATTTGGCAGCTGGAATCAACTGATTTTTTTTGAGTTGATGCACTAATTGTTAATTGTTCTTCGACATTTTTGCTTTATTTGTAGAATCTTGTAGCATTCAGTTCTTGGGCAAAATATATATTTGCTGACTCGTGCAGGCTTTTGTCCTTGGTAACTTTTCATTTCCGAAAAACGAGGGTTTCTAGATCTGCCTAGCGCAAACAATTTCATTTTATGAGTCCCAGGGGCGTTTGAACAAGGCATAAATGTAATTCTCTCTTAGCTCATGTTTCTATTTGGGGGTGATGCACTTCAAATTGTGTCAGCAAGTGTCTTTTGATCGAGTAATTTCCAAAAAATGTCACTTTTGTCTGCATTATAGATTTGGTCCAACACCTGCATTTCCCTGACTTTGCTGCGAAGCAGTTTGTTGAATGGCTCCACAGTTCCCTCGTCACGGGATAATTTTTCACCTGTGATGGATGGTTGCCGAATTCCATATCGGATAATAAATTTATCAGGCCACCCAGCACTCGTATTAAAATTTCTGCTATGGTAAAATTTCATTATACAAAAATTGAGCTTTTTTTTGAACCAACATTTTAAAAGTGAATTATCTGTCTCGACCCGCACTGCTCGGATAAACAAATTGTTGTTCAGATTATAGCAAGAGCTCCAAGACGATCGGATTAAGGTTTTACTGTATTGCAGTGAATCAAAGTAACCAATGGTTAAAATGATTACAGTACATTATATCAAAGGAACATATACTATAAAGTAATGAGAATCAACAGCTCTAATACACATCTTTTACACACAGAACAGTACTGGGTGAAACATAAATTTGTTGAAGCTGGCTGACTGAACAACAATCATTGGCCAGTGTCGGCAGCATGAAAATTCCCAACCTTTAAAAGTTACCGGTTGATTAAAAAGCACAGGGATATCTTAATCAAGAAAGGTCTTAAGCGAGAGCATTAATATTTAAAGAGCTATTCGTACCGTGGTTCTTTGCAACATGTATCAAACTATCTATAACCTGTTTTCGCTTTTTCAAGCTGGATGTCTGGATTTTAGTCTCTAAATCCTTTATGACCCGCTCAACCTGCAAATATATTTATGTTAGTTAATACGCTTTTCATTTTAGTGATACATTGTTTAGTACCTCTGCCGATTCCATTCTGTAGTTGTTCAAAAATGTGACTTTTTCTCAGCAATGGTACATTTGTGAATAAAATTGACATTACCGCAAATTCCCGTCATTTTCTACTTCATTTCTTCTTCGTCCAGGTAAAATGTGCTATATATAATTCATTAAATTTTCTATATTGTTGATTTGTCTTTAACTTTAATAACAATTTATGGTTTAATTATTTTTTTTAAATCATGCATCTATTGCCAGTTGCTATAACATATTTGTATATATTGCCCAGACAAAAATAAGGTCAATGGTCTTAGCTGGTGCGTAAAAGACGTAGAATAGAACCCGTAACCATAATTAGGTTAATTTGCCTGATAAATAAATAAATAAAACTCTTCCATGAAAACAATGCACTAAAAGTGGCTAAAAATTGAATTTAATATGAATCTCAAATTTCTAGACAAATGAAACTTAAAATGCGTTTATATTTATATTTAGATGTAGCAGTTATTATTTCAATATTTGTAATAATTTTTTATTTGTATAGTATTAAGCAAATAAGTCAAAAAGAACAACTTTATTCGGAATTATCTACTACGGAAAATCTATTTTATAACAAGTAAACATTTTTAAATTATTTCTGTTTGATTTGTTATATTTTGTACATGTTTTTATTTTAGCAATGAGTTGGTGGTCGCAGTTGTGGCTTGTGGAGATCGTTTAAATGAGACTCTAACTTTAATAAAATCAGCATTAATGTTTAGCAAAGGATACCTGAACTTTATTGTAATAGCAGAAGATAAACTTAAAGAGAATTTAAATGAAAAGGTAAGTCCAATAGGTATTTAAACATCGAAGAGTTAAGGATCTGAAAGAATACTTTGTTAGTTATTGATGTCTTTAAGTTGCTGAACTAGAATTAACAACTAACCAGGCGGGATCTGGCATCTTCAGTGAATTTAAATTAATATTTGACTCAAATAAGTTAAAATACTCTTGTTCAATTAAGCGGTTGAGAAGATTAAGCGGTTCAAGCAGATAATTGAAGACGTTGATGCAAGAAGGGAATAAGTAACATTTATTAGCTTTTACGGCAGCGGCAAATTAAAACAAAACTTACCCAGATTCGAAAAAGTATGTGGATTTTTATCCGATCACATATGGGCACTATAAGAATTAAGAATGCCACTGTGTGTGAACCCGACTGCGTCTATAAAAAAGATGCCTTGCTTTCTGTAAGAATGTTTCCTCAGCCATTGGCAATTCAGCAAGCGTTAGGACTTTGTAGCAATGTTATAAATAAGAATTTCCATACATACAATTTAGTGGTTTCTTCTTGAAAAGCAATTTGTCTGACACTAGTTTTTGATATTTTGTTCTAAATTTTTGAAGATTTGCTGTTTATTTCCAATGACGCAAAAGTCCCCTTTTTGCAATATGATGTGATTCCATGTTTTTTTTTTGTAAATTTTTCTGAATTGGTGTTCCCATATGCAATTGCATTATGTAAAATGCATTCACTATTTCCTCAAGAAAATAATGGGCCATTTTGTAATTTATTAATTGAAAATCTCACTATTGATTTTATTCGTTTTTTATACTTCAGGGTAAATATTAACATCAAAACTGCCACAAAAATGTGGGAATCCTTTGAATCCCCCTGAAAACAAAAATTTTAGCCTCTCTGCTAAGATAGAACTGCCCTTAAAAGACGCCGCTAAAAATACTTTTTTTATTAAATACCTTTTTGTTGGTGCTTTCGTATTGCCCCTTTAAACTACAGGTTTTTGGATGTGGCATTTTCAAGCTAGAATCAGCTTATGACTACTAATAGGTCGGAAACTGTTCTGGGAGTGATTCCTAAATCACAACCAATAACCAGTTTTCGTTCTACGCATTTGTGACTGAGCAATGAGTAAAAAACGATTTTAAGCATATTAAATTCCTTAACTAATAAATGTCGTAAGGAAAAAAGTTGGACCCTATTTATATGGGAAAGCGTTCATGGGATGCATGTAATACCTTTTCTCGAATTCTGCAATTATTAACAGAAAATTTTTGTTATTTACTCTGTTTAAAGAATATCGAAATTTATAATTTAATCCAGTAAAATTCCTAAATAAGCTGAATCTGAAACTGTTTTAAAAAAATAATTTTAAATTTACTTTATAGGATAAAAAATTTTACACGTGATGGTAAAGCACCTCGTATATGGGGGCTGGTAAAATAATTGGGCTTTCAGATTGACCCAGTGGTTATTCCTTATGAAGTGAAATAACAGACATTTTTGGTACCGATTAATGCCTAAGCAAGTCTTTCGGTGAAAGGCACATTTTTTTGAATTTGATTGGTGAAATATTTGGCTCGCGCCCTTTGTTCATCCACATTTTTTTCTTGAGAAGCCTGAAAATGTCTTCAGCTTACCGTTGTGCACACTTAGTACGTGCTCGACTTTATTTTCGCACGGTTTCGGTTCGTTTGGTCAGTAGATAATTGTACTTGACGCATTGGTGAACTTATGAAAAAAAATTGGGAGCGGAGGCCAAACAATTTTAGACCTCTGCCGATTTTCTAAGATTGTGCACCCCGAAAGTATTAGTTGACCAATAGTCAGATCACAAGCCGATAGTGATGTACTCAAATGCGTACTTATAATGGTGATTTCTCAGATGCCCACTTATGAAAACATGCATTTTATTACTCAAACTTAAGTAATTGTTATGACTTTTTTTCAGTTGAGTGAATGGAAGGAATTCACGCATAACGGATTTTCGTATAGAATTCTTCCATTGAACTTTCCCACCAAGGATGGCAGTGAATGGATGAAACTGTTTAAACCATGTGCTGCTCAAAGGCTTTTTTTACCTGTAAGCAATTAAGTTTTTTATGAAAATTTCGTTTGAAATGCTTCTTCTCAAGTTTCTTTGGAATTGATATTGCTCTATTAGCTATTTTTCAGTAAAAAACTTCTTAACATTTTATATGTTTTTTTATCTATGTCTAAATAATTATACTTTTAAACTCTAGAAAGGAACGCTCTTATACAGATCGTGGCTCACGATTAAAGAACAAATTTCAACTTGAAATTACATTTTTAGGACGTTTTGCCGGATGTGGATGCATTACTTTACATGGATACTGACACATTATTTTTAACCCCCGTTGAAAGCATTTGGAGATACTTTAATAAATTTAACGCCAGTCAAATGGCGGCTTTGGCCCCAGAGCATGAAGATCCAGCTATTGCGTGGTATAACCGCTTTGCAAAACATCCCTATTATGGAAAGTTAGGTAAATAATCTGATATTGTAGGCGAACAGCGCCAACAACTTTCACTAAACTTCAGTGGTGAAGTTGTTTAGCAAGTCTATATAAAATTGCAAATACAAATACAAATGCAAAATTTCCATATTTATTTTTTCTTTAACAGTTAACAAATACATTATATTATGCAGATTATCCAATCTATTTAGCAAATTTATCACCAAACAAATCCAAACAGGTACTATGAACTTATCGCGTTTTTCTTTCGTATTAATTCAGTTTCATATACACCTGTTTTTCTAACTTTATTTATGCAAAATGGAAACTAGCTCAGATCAGTATGTTCTGAATTTAAAACGCAAGAGCAGAAGTGGAGCTTAGCACTAAACATTTTTACAGTTAATGTTCTTGAGAAGGATTATATTTATTTTAGGAGTAAACTCGGGCGTGATGTTGATGAATCTAACAAGAATGAGATTATTCAAGTGGACTGAATACGTCGTACCCATTTACAAAAAATATAAACTCCATATAACTTGGGGCGATCAAGATATCATCAATATTATATTTCATTATCATCCAGGTGAGAATAATTCAATTAATTATACTCTCTTGTTTCATATAAAGTTTCGTTCATTGCAGGAAAGCTCTTTATTTATTCCTGCAGATATAACTATAGGCCAGACCATTGTATGTACTCAAGTATATGCAAAGCTGCAGAGAAGAATGGCGTTGCGGTAATTCATGGCTCAAGAGGGTTTTTCCATTCTGAAAAACAGCCAATTTTTAAGGAAATTTATAATGTATTCTACTCGGTATGTATAAAGTTTCTTGTTTCATACATCTAGGTTTTTAAGCGTGAATATCCGTTAAAATTAGCAGTGTTTACTCCAGATTTTGTAAAAGTTGGGATTTTTTGATCAAATCTAAAATGAAAAAGTTTGTCTTTGAAACGGTCTGTCAAAAATAAACGACTGAGCGAATATGTTCAGCTGTTCCGTATACATACGAGGTTTAGAAATAGCAATAAAACCCAATTTAAAAAATATATTAGGACAGAATCGGGACAGACTGAAATGATGGATATGAGCCAAATATTCAAGGATTTAATGAAACATTGCTAATTAAAATTAGAGGAAGTCGAGGTTAGAAATAGTCGGGAATTGCCTTTTCGATAAAATATAACCGCTGATTCCAATACTTTCAACCGATTTTCAAATATAAATTAAAATATAATGTTTTTTTGAAATATGAATTAAAATACGATTTATTTACTGACTATTGGGTCCAAATATTTATACATTGAGCTTTCTTATATTACTGAATTGCCAAAGTAAGGTTCCTGACCTGGTTGAAAATTTCACATTTTTCATCTCAAAGCTGTTTTAAGGCTTGAAGATCTCTGATCAATCCCAAGAGCATATAGCGCACGAACTTCTGATGTCTTATTAGTTTTTAACTGAGCAGGTTAACTGAATATTATTTGAAATAAGTTTTAAAGCAAATTTTTCTTCACTTCTTTCCTTTTCAGTTTCAGTTAGGTAGCGATATTTACAGAGACTTTTATCAACCCGTCGAAGCCCATTTAGATACGTTAGAAAACACGAACTGTGGGAAGTTGAAAAATGTGTTTTTAAAAAACATCCGAAGATATTTAGACTTGGATTTTGACAATACTTAACTGGCCGATCCGTCCCATAGATTAAAACAAAACTAATATAATTTAATGTATGTAATTGAAAACAAAATTGCTACATGCCAAATCAAAATGTTAATAAACATGTGATGATGTATTTTTTGAGAATCTCCACATGAGATCTGTTTTTGAGTGTTATTCAGTTTATACACAGTTAGACTAAAGTAGAAAAAATGTATCAGTATTTTCGCTTTGTGCCAAAATTGTTCCTATATCATTTAAAAACAGCTTACAAATGTTTAACATTGTAACATATTTTAAATAAATATCCAGATAATAAATATATATATGTTGTTTTGAAATGTGTGTTTCCCATGAAGAACAATGTCAAATGCAAATAATTTTATTATACCTAAAGCTAATCCAAAACAATTGTTTGTGGAATCTCAGTAAAGTAAAACGGAGTTAAGGCAGAAAATAAACTTTGTTATAACGCGATCAGATTTTTTGAACTTTAAATTTGCTTAAATGAAGGTGGGGAGTAATAGCACATAAGTGTGCTTTACTGCACCATACAGTATCGATAAACCATTTTATTTTCGCGAAGCTGAAACATACCCTACGACGTCACATTTGTGTGCGTTTATACTTTGATTGCTGATAAAATCTTTATGGCTAGGCAGAATAAGGACAACATTTGTAGGACACTTTCTTGTTCTTCGTTAATCAATTTTACCAAATAAAAAAAAGAGGCAACGACCATATTGTAATTTATTATCCCATTAATTATTTATTTCAGTCTTGTGATAAAAATATAAAATTTTATTTTTACAATTTACTGAAGTTTGTTGACTCTCGGTATATGCAGAAGATGATTTTTGTCAAATGTGAAGTTGACGGTTTTTTAAACCTTTTTATAATTTATTAAAGCCGTTCTGTTCCCAAACGCTTTACATCTGCAAGTACTTACTTACGCTTGGTTTGTAATTTATGGGAACATTTTTATCGAGGTAAGCCTGTTTCAATAATAAGTGTTTAAGGTTTTTTGTCATTACCGTTATGTGTTTTAAAACATATGGCATAGAAAAATTCAAAAGTTGATAATACCTAAGATGTATATGCCGTTTGAGATTCTTTATATAATAAGTTTCTTCTAAATATGACACATACTAATAGGGTGGCAGACCAGAGTGCGAATTTATTTATAGTTTGGGTGATACCTATTTATGGACAAATTGTTCTCCCTAACAACAGGGAAATTTTAGGTACAGCTCTCGAAGCGTTATCGAAATTTCAAATAAAATACAATCTAATATACCTACTGTTTCACGTATTTAAATGGCTAATAATAAAATACCTTTAAACGTTTTAAATATTTAAATATTTTAAAATGTATAAAACATTTAAAGGATAAATGTATAATGTGTTCCATACATTTCAGTAAACAAACGATCAACTTTTGATTTTTATATTACCTGTTACTTGTTTGCGCGGCACTTTTATGTATCCGATTATACGGAAATGCAGTAGATTAAATTAATTTTGCAATTTTTGTCTTAATTGCAAGATGTTACACAAATGTAGGGTTTTTAGTTCTATGCGTTCACTAATATCTCTAATAACAAACATGCATATCTCTAATAATAATAATACGTTGATATTTGATATCTATAGATAGATAGTTGATAAATATAGATAAGTTTACTAGATTCACATTCCTATTTCAAATGAGCAACCACTAAAATGTAAAAGTGAAAAACCACACTTTCCTCCCAGTCACACAAAAATGAAATTCTTTGCTGTTTTATATATTTTATTAAATTCAAGTAATATAAAAGTACAAAAAATATCTACAATCTATGGCATGTATCACTTCAGGCGTCGTCGGTTTCCATCACATGGTTTTCTGAACTTCTCATCTCATCCTTCCATTTGCCATCTTCGGCATCTCTGGCTTCTGGATTCCATTTTTGTTCCGCTTGGGCTTCTCGCAACTGGGCAGCCCATCCCGCCATTTTCATATCTGCTTGAGGTAGAGCCGAGCCAACCGTTTCATCTTCAACATCTACATTCTTCGCAAGATTACTTTGTTTAGCAGTGGTACTCTTGGGCGAAGAATTCACTTGTGGATCAGCCATTACTTTTGATTCGTTTTTACCGACTTCAGTATTGGCAACATCATCTTTGGGAGCTACTTCCATTTTCTTGGTCATTTCGACTTTTTTATTTACCGACGCACCTGCAGCTCTCATTGTTTCTTCTTCGGCATTCCTGTATAAATTCAAGTGAGGTACGGAATATGTTGCAGGGGGCTTATAACTGGGAGCAGCTGGATAATGCTCTGGTTCATAACTTGAGGTTGGGGGGGAGTTGTAGCTTGCAGCTGGTTTGCTGTAGCTTGGCGCTGGAGCACTGTAGCTGTGAGCTGGGGCGCTGTAACTTGGAGCTGGAGCGCTGTAGCTAGGAGCTGGAGCGCTATAGCTGGGAGCACTATAGCTTGGAGCTGGTTCGCTATAGCTGGGAGCTGGAGCGCTGTAGCTTGGAGTTGGAGCGCTGTAGCTAGGAGCTGGAGCGCTGTAGCTTGGAGCTGGAGCGCTGTAGCTTGGAGCTGGAGCGCTGTAGCTTGGAGCTGGAGCGCTATAGCTGGGAGCACTATAGCTGTGATCTGGGGCGCTGTAGCTTGGAGCTGGAGCGCTATAGCTTGGCGCTGGAGCGCTGTAGCTTGGAGCACTGTAACTTGGAGCTGGAGGGCTGTAGCTTGGAGCCGGGGCGCTGTAGCTGGGAGCGCTGTAAATAGGAGCTGGAGCGCTATAGCTTGGGGCTTTATAAGCAGGTGCACTGTATGCGGGTGCCTTATAGGACCCAGCTGGACCAACTGGACCATAACTGGTTGGTGCCTTGTAAGTAGGCGGCTGTGAGTACGAACCATAAGAATAAGGTTTTCTTTGGCCATTAGAAGCCCTGTAGGAACCATATCCGGATGAGCCTCCATATCCTCCCGCTGCTGCACCATGAGCATATCCAGCTAAATTCGGTTGACACGTTATCACCACTCCGCTATGTTGAAGTTTCTTTGGTTCGACTGGAACGTATGGGATTGGATACCCATGTGAAGCAGCTCCATAATGCGGGGCACCATAGCTGGGAGCACCATAGCTTCCATAACCACCACCACGAGCAGTAGCTTTTCTCATCATGGGTGGATCAATACCATCATTCAGAGCTTGTAGAGTTTCGGTTTCGCTCATTCTCATATTCATTTCGTCGAAATCAATATCGTCATCTTCTTCGGCTTCTCTGTATGAGGAATACGCGGGTCCGCCGTGAGCTGCGGCATATGGTTTTGTAGCCGGAGCTGAAGCTGGATAGGTTTTGGCTGTAGCATATGAGACCGCAGATGGAGGAGCGGTTTTCGTTGCAGGAGAAATATAAGGAGCTGGTGCTGCCTGTTGGTACCCTCCAACTGGCACAGTCTCTTCGTACCCGGGTTTAGCAGATTCGCATACCTGATATGGCTTCTCGTTAACGTCACTAGGCCTTATTTCCACGCACAACGTGGTTGTAGCCGATTTTTTCGCTCTTTTCGCGTCAGTTTCGTCTTCATTATTAGTTACTCCGACAAGTAGACTTTTATTTTCATCCATGGTGTTTAGTTTCTTCTCCAGGAGAAGGCGAGCTGCATCTCGCTTTTGGAGCTCATTGGATAGTGCCAGATTTACAGTTGCACCTAAAATACAAACTAATGTAATGAACTGCATATTGGATGGCGAGTAACTAGTATACTGAAGCTAGATTGCTAGCTTTGGCTTATTTATACTCATATGCTACCGAATTTGCAAGCGCGCGTGATTACGATATTTCGATTGATTGCCCTAGATTTTTATTGATGTTTTAAACAATGTTTGAATACCGGGTGTTATATGCAGCAATGGGATTCGGCTCAAAAAAGTACAACTGTTTGAGCTTTTTCTATACTTTAAGACTGTTCCAAAAATACACGCTTGGTAAATTTTAATTAAGCTGTAAATAATATGAAACTTCCAAATTGAATTGTAATTCCTAGTTTAAAATATATACAGGTGTCCCACCGGGAACCAAAGCGAGCTGTATTTAGTAAACTTTAATTAGGAGAGATTTGAAAATTGGGCAGTATACGGAAGTCATTGAGGAGAGCAAGAGGTCTAACATGCTTTCAAGATAACCACGCTTCTGGTTATACCGGAAATAGGTATCAACCTGCTTATTTTAAATGGAAAAAATCAGTCCAATTTCCTAATTTTTTCATAGTTTGCTATACCAAAACAGGGTGTTCCGTAAATATATTAACATATTTTAACAGCATGTTCTCCTAGACATTTTATACTGATCCTTTTCTTCCTTTGGTCCTTTTTTTTACTGATGGGTTTTCCTGATATATTTTTTTAATTTGAGGTCTCATTTTTGAGATATTTGATCTTCAAAATGGCGAAAAATAATAGCTTTTGTTGTTTTCCTTTAAAACCGTTAAATATAAAAAATTCAATTTTGGTGCACATTATAAGCTAATTCAGTGCCATTCTATGGAAGTGTTTTGTAGTTCAGTTTACTTTTATACAGAGTAGAAATGTGGAACGCCTACTTTTGTTTTGTTCAGAACTTTTTTATGTGCACTTAAACTTTTATCAACATATTTTTAATTACCACAAGTTATTTATCAACTTTTTTATCTCTTATTGTTTTTTCTTAAGGGCACTAGTTTGCCCGCAAAAAATTAAATCGTTTCGGCTTGATCAAAACTTTCCAAGTCGTTGGATTGGGAGAGGTCAAGAAGCTCCTATAAACTTGATTGTGCAAGAAATGCCATTTAAAAAATACGGTATATTCAACAAAAGTGAATACAATCGAAGAACTTCAGGAAAAAATACCTAATATTTATTTTTTTTTTATTCTTCAAAAATAAAATCGTTCTCAAAATGTGTAAGTAATTAAGTTAATTTCTTTAAATCTAATAAGGTTTTCATACAACAATTTTGGTGCGCATTATTAGTTGATTCTATTGAATTTTGGTTGATTGAACAACCACCATTCGCTAAACCACTAGTTAGTCGTCTTAGGAAAAAACAATAAGATATAAAAAAGTTGGTAAAAAATTTGTAGTAATTAAAAAAATTATATCGAGAAAAGTTTAAGTGCACATAAAAAAGTTCTGAACAAAATAAAGGAAGGGGTTCCACATTTCTACCCTGCATAAAAGCAAACTGAACTACGAAAATATCATAAAATGGCTCTCAATTAGGTTATAATGCATACCAAAGTTTAAGTTTCTATGTTAAACCGTTTTAAAACATTAAAAAGTTAAAGGATAACAACGAAAACTAATATTTTTCGCCATTTTGGAAATCAAATAACTCAACAACGAAAGCTCAAATTAAAAAAATTATCAGGAAGAAGCCCTCTAAAATGACTAGAAGAACACGCTGTTAAAATATTTTAACATATTTACGGAACACCCTGTATAATTAGCGGTGGTTCCCGGTTTGACACGCTGTATTTTTGCATTTCAATTTTAGTACACCTGTATAAATATTTGAATTAGGTTTTATTTTTGTTAATTTTTCTGGTTGAAAGGAACATTTTCTCAGTCGTCTAGAGGCGAAAATAAATACGGGGTTTTAATTTGAAAACTTCCCAGCCTCAATATCTTTCTTGCAGTTGAAAATATGAAAAATCGGAAAAGCCCGGCAATTTTAATTGTATGGGGTACACTTTCAATAAATATTTTTAGCCTCCTTGTTTCAACCCCTTAGGAGGGGTAGATGTCACCCTTAGAATTTTAATAATAGATAATTTTATATATTAAGGGTGGGTAGTTTTTAAATTGACACCCGGTATATTAGAACCCACTGCGTTGTTGTCTGGTATTTGCACATCATTATAAAACACCCTGAGTCGAAACATTCGCTAATAAATTGATCTGTTAAGCTTTCAATCTTAATTATGGCATCAGTTTTTTACAGTCTTATATACTTACCAAGATATACTTTGAGGTATGCATTTGCGCCCATAATAAAGCACTGCTTTCCATTTAAGCACTGCATTCGAACCTCTCATTTGATGGACTAAAAAGCCATAAAAGAGCAGATCTAGACATTCTTCAACACACCTGCTCCGCAAACTCACTTATCCAATAAGTCTTACCAAACAATTACTTGAAAACCTTTATCAAATAAAACAAACTAAAAACAGACAAATAAACTAAAACGCCAACTGTAAAAAGCAAAATATAGACTTTATTTAAAAATATAACTTGAACGTACAACAAGATAAAAACATACAAAATGCAACTAAACCCAAAAAATCACGGATTTATAGCTGTTAAAATATCACTGAATACTCTTGCCCCTAGCCTTTTCACCGTTTCAACGTTGAACTGCTGATCTTCATTTTCTATTTCTTTCATTTTGGATTGCATGCGATTTTGCGAGGTATCTCTGTTTTCTATTTTGATCTGTTTTGTATTTTGGTCTATTTCCGTCACAGGCTCAATTGCTTTTGGATCTGGCGTTGTAACTGAAGATGTAAACTCAGTAGTAGGTTCCGTACTTATCTCATTTTCTTCATGCTCTTCTGCAAAAAATCGGCCGTTTTCAGCTGGAGTGCTACTTTCAGCTTCCTCTGAAGGAGCGACAGTTTTTCCTTGAACTTTACTAGAAGTGGATGGTGGTTTGTCTAAAACAGTCTCGCTAATTTCCAATTCCTTTTTGTGTTGTTCAGATGTGGCTCCCGCATCAGGCAGGGATTCTGGCTTTTTGGTAACCTTGTATTGACCAGGAGCCGTACAATTAATGTTGTCTTCGTCAAGATCAGTTAAATCAGCCAGAACGTCAGACATCACCGATTTTCCTTGAGCGAATGCTGATATCACTGGATTTACCAAATCAGCAATTTTCTTGAGCTGAATAAAATCTTCTGAACTATCATCTTCGCTCAGATGCTGATCTAATCGAGCTTTTATTGTGGGCATAAGCAAACTTTTATCCCAATTGCTCGCGATGTCTGATGTTTTAGGGCACATATGAGGTCCATTAACACAATAAAACTGACCTGGCACTATATTTAAAGTGACTACGGTTAATATATACAATGATTTTGAAGACATTTTTGGTATGTTCTCGATTTAGCGACTGTGTGAGTGTTTTATATGAGAATATGAAGGTTTATTTGGATTTTGAGGGTAATACCTGCGAGGGTGAAGGCTGAGGACCGCGGATATTAGATTTTAAAAACGTGTGAATAGTTTGAAAATTTTAGAATTCGTTTTTGCTATTAGATTTAATTTCATTTTGGATTTAACAGTAGGCCAATGGTCGGCATTGTTGATGAATATGCAGTTTCTAATTCACACCCGATTTTCTGTTGATATGTTTATTTACATAAAGTAAATGATGTCGGAAAATGTAGGTCATCAGACACTACAATAACTGATTAATTTTCGTTTTGCTAATTCGGCATATTTCAACGATTTGCAAGAATGTAGGGTGTAAAACGATTTGAATGAGATCTCTAGGCCAAATGTTTGGAAAGATATTCGGTAGTAATATAAAATTACTATAATATTTTTAATTAAATGTGCTTGAATAAAAAATGTAGGTTCTTTTTGGGCAATCGGTTTTACTTAAGCCTACAAATTTTTACATTATAATTTATAAAACTTATTTAATTATTTGAAAATTTTTGCTTAAATCCTAATTGTGACTAGCTACTATGCCGAGAAATTTAATTAATTAAATTAATTATGAAATTGTTTAACTTTTAAATACAACATTTAAATTAATGTTTTCAGATCAACTTGGAACAATGAAATGAACAAACTATACGCTTATAATTTAATATACATAACTTTATTAATTCCGAAAAAAAATTCAATGTATTTTTTTTATAATGGAGATTAAAAAAAATATATATTCAAATATCTCACAAAAAACAAATGAAGTCGAGTGAAAAAACATCTAACGATCGATTTGACATCAAAATGTACAAAGTCGACCACGAAAAAAATAGTTCTGTTCGTCAGTAATAAGAACAACATTCGGATTTTTACAACCAAAAGCTGATATGGTGGACCAGTTTTAATCGTGAAGAATTGGACAGTATTTTTTTCCGAATATTTACAATTTCTTATGTGTAGTCCGCGTTTTTGTTCAATGAAGTAAAAAAATCATCAAGTAAAAAATACTTTCTATGAAGAAATAGTACTCCATTGATTTTAATTATGTTCTAAATGCTTCATTCGCTTTTTAAATTTAAAAATACTTTTTAGTAAAAGTTAAAAATCGTTTCAGTGTAGAAGGCTTCATTTCCTCTGAGACAATTAGATTTTGTAAACAAACTAATTAAAACGATAAAAATACTTTTATTAGCATGATATTAAAATTATTATAGGAAATAGCTCAAAAAAGGCTCGAAACTGGAAAAACTCGAAAAACTGGATTCAAATGTAATGCCGTTTTAACTTTTAATGTAATTGATCATTATATATCTCGTGTAATTGATCATTATATATCTCGTTTGCCTGCTATTAATAGAGAGTTTTCAAAATATAAGCATTTGCAAAAGTCATTTTTTTGTTGCTTATCTTATGTTACTTTATACAAATTTACATAAAATTCAGTAAACATGTTCCAGAACACAGTTGAAATATAGAATTTGTTATGAACTATAGTTCAAATGATAGATAATGATTTCGAAATCAGCTTTTATCGTGCGGTAACCGCATTTATGAGCGATTTTTGAATTTAGGGTTTTTTCATCTTTTTACCTTGTTTGAAACCTGTAATGTGCCTTGATAAACTAAATTTATGCGTACAA